TTGTGAGCGATTTACGCTCTTTCCATAACTCAAACAAAGCCTTGTTTTTCCAATGCTGAATGTATTGCACCAACATTGTACTTTTGTAAAAATGTAACGAAGACTGATTGTGTCTGCTGTGATTAACGTCCTTTTGTAATACGATAGTGGTTTATCCCTCGGTTCTGGTGAGGCGACGCTTTTGTACTTGGGATTAGTCCCCTTGTACCTCGCTGGGTGGGCTGGCCTTTGTGGCCATGCCAATAGCCCAGACACCTTCTCCGTGCTGAATATATATATTCTGCCCGAGTATTGTGTCTTCTTTCGTCTTAAGAGTATCGGGACGCTACACTTTAGTATTTTTCGCGCAATCCTTTACCAAAATTCATTTTCTATAATTTACATTTTAACATGATTAGAAGCACTTTTCAGTGAGCAAAATTATAGAATTCTGAGTAATTGGTCACGGGTGATCTTGTCCTTTCTTCGGAGATTGTCAATTGGTTGCAAAAATTTCCTTCGCTTAACCTTTGAGGTGGTACAAATTTTGCCTTTTTTACCTTGCAGGATTTTTTGGTGGAATCTAAAAAAATTACAATAGATGCCTAATACGTGTAACTTTCTAGGTCTGAGTTCATTTTTTATTGGACATTTTCACTATTTACTTTGTTTTGTTTTCCAGTCCCAACTGAACGGTGTTATCTGAGTAACCCCTATTTGGTACTTAGTATTTTCTTTAGAAATCGCATCTTTGTTATGTCTTGAGATATCAGTTTTTTTGTTATTAGCACTAATAAGAGCTACATGAAAAATATTTAACCTTATAGCACAAAGCAGCATTGCGTGAACATGTTTTGTCCTTTTGAACTCAAAATCTTGAGAAAGTAGTTTTTATTGATTAATTGATGAATCGAGGTTTGAATTGACCTTAATTAGATTTCACTTGTTTTCCGTTCAATTTTTCGCTTCTCATGCCTGGAGTTGCAACCTCCCGGTTATTAAATATCAACATTGAGGACCATGTTTCCATGGCAGTAAGGACATACGTTATAGGTCTTATTTATTTGAGTTTTGTATTTACGAATGAAATAAATACCCGCTAAAGACATAGTTGACTTAAATTTTCGTACATATTTTTAGTTTGCATGTATGCACTCGAGTCAAGTGCTTTAAAGCGAATTTGAGGGAACCGACTGCCCCTTGCGAAAAAGTGTTAGAAATAAGTGATTGAGTTACTTGATGCTGTAATTAGGCCCTGTGGTTGGGGTTGGGGGGTCCAACAAGTTAATGAAATGAAAACAATCTGGTCGTCTATTTATATTCCTACATATATGTAAACGATTCACATCTGTGAAGTTTAACTTCCTCTATCCGTTGCAGGCATCAAGGAGCACGCTTGTTTTTGTAGAGAAAAGGTTTATTTATGCCCAAGACCGCGCCCTCAGTACTGCCTTGGGATCGGCTTTGTTTCACCTTGACTTGGGCATATTTACCCTGTGATTGAACATGGGATCGAGAGATCCGTGAATTTGAGCGAGGGTGCTCACCTGCGTCCACACCGGTATAGACGAGAAAGAGCTAATTGAGTTAGGAGTCACCAATGCGTAAAATGATGCCGCACGGTGTAAAAACAATACAGCTTGTTTCCACATCTAAGAATCTTAGTTTACGGTAGATGCATTTTGTGGTTTCAAAATGCTGCGTTAATGCTACTCAGGTACGTGTAGGTATTTATTTAAAATATTTAGGTGATACGCTGCAGATCCACCTTCCCTAAGTTTAGTATTGGGCTAAAGTCAATGTGCTTAACGGAGAAGAGATCATTCAACTCTAGTATTTGTCCATATTACCTCACTGGTGATTAATTTAATCCTTACAAGACTTGATGTTAGGGGTGCAGTTCTTTGTTTTGCATTCCAGATTCCCCATACGAGATTTCGATTCAAGCACCATGTTCCATTTTTAAGTCAGCGTTAAATTTGTCCAGATCTATTCGTACTCCCAGAAGTCCAGTTGTCCCTACCACTTAATGGATGATGAAGCTTTAAGTGAAGTTTACATTCAGCAATGCGATATGATTACCATTGAATGACCTAGTCGTCGGGTTTGGCGTCTTATTTCCAATTTACGAATAACTTGTGCAGTAGAGGCAAAGGAACTGTTGAATTAAATTGAAGTAGCACCTTTATGTTAATAAATGTGCTATTTATATTGTCTCATCCGAATTGGCGACAAATAGTGGCAGACTAATGCTGCTTATCTTACTTAATTGGATTGGAATTGGTCTAAAGGCCTTAATTTCAATTTACTTCCACGAGGCGTAGTTTTTACCAATTTATCTCCCCCAGCGAGCAAAATTAGCTGATATTTCCGACGCCTCTAGGACTCGGAGTCACACTGCATTCACATGACAAGGCCGTACGATTATTTAACTCGTGGTTAAAGTGCAGCAGTCTAATCAAAGTTGTATTTTAAACCAAACGATTCTTCAAAGATACGATTCACTGCGTTGTGAATTTAGTGACTGTTTTGTTATAAAATTAATAATTTGGCAGATTCGCAGTCCAGCATCGCATGCGCACTATGCTACAGTCGCACACATAAGGCAGCCCTCAGTGTTTAGATTTTTCGCCTTCCCAGAATTGCCACCAGGTTGTAAATTTTAACAAAGTGGGGTAGATCCTCTTAATCTTGGCCTAGAAACCGCAAAGAAGCCTGAATCCGTCACCTCTAAAGCAGCTTTAGTTGTTCACTTGAGTCAACAGTTTGATGCACATTAAAACCCACTACAGGGTTCTTCGTTGCACTTTAGTTCAAGTTGCTACTATGGTCACTTGGAGATCCTCGTTCTAATTGAATACTTTAGGCAAATCAGATGCTTTATTGGCTGTAACTTTAACACGTGTAGACGAATAACTAGATCAACCACAAATCTTAGCACTCAATTTTGATGGTATTTAGACAACTATCTTTGGCGTACACAATTCTTCATATTGAGTCATCATCCGAAGGTGAATCGTTGGGAATTTCACTTTTGACTGGATTAAATTCATAACGTTTTACTAAGGATGGAGCACGATAGAGTAAGGCATTCATCTAGGGAAACATACATTCTACCCGTCTCAGGGCGACGTGCATTTGGTAAAACTATTGTGCTGAATCCCTCATCTCCATACATAGAGGGAAATGCAACATCATTGACTGCCTCAATATTATTTCGCGTGCATTTGTACTCTCTTGTGAATGCATGTTAAGTTTCCAGTGCGTCCTTCGAGAACCTACTCAAGGTGATTTGACATTTGTGCCATTGATCTGTTTATGGGTTTGTGCTCAGGTACGCGCAATCCAGCAGGCGTGCATTTATTGCACACATTCGCTTAAAGTTTAAATTGGAAACTAAGTTTCTTGGTCGAGGAATAGTGGTCGCTGATTAGCAACTTTAGTATACAAATGCTACTGCTTTTGTAGGAAGAAGGCCATCATCTGAATACACGGATGAAAAACACCTCCTATAGTTTCGAAGTTAATTGCCTGTGAAGGAGTATTGCGCATGCGATTTCGAAATAAGCCCGTCAAAATATGCTACAAGAGGGAGACGCAAGAGCGCACTCTGAACAAGAGTAACATATTCGAATTCAGCGATTTTCACAAACCATCAAACACCGGAGGGTGTGCACGAACGAGCCGTTGAGTGGGTTGGGCTATGTCATTGTCATTTGTATTTTTTATGATTAAGGAATAGGAAGGAAGTAACACCGGTTTATGGTGTGAAATCATATAAGTTGTCTAACTATTTCCATAGCAAAAATTTTCGAGCTGGCTCGCATCCTAAGTAAAATAGAAAGTTGTTTTACTGCTTTTTAAAGATGAAAGCACCTAAAAGCTCGTGATTAAACTGTTTATCAACTAAGACCACAGCAAAAGCGTCGCTTGGTGTAATGCGGCATGCCGAATACTTCATGAGTTTCATTATACATTATCAGTGACTCAGCAACTTTTCTGCAATTATTTGAATTGCAAGTGAACTATTAAATTACTTTAGTGTAGCACCTACGCCATCTGCTTTATTGGCCATTACGCTGCCGCTTGAAGAGGCGAAATCCTCACTGCCAAAAGTGAAGCAGCGCTCTCATTAACGTACTTTGCTTAGTAATAAATTAGTTTATTTCAACTGGTGGTACTAACGTGCAGTTCTCAAGACACCCATCGAAGGCCATCTATACTGCTCCACATATTTCCCACGTAGCAGGTTGAAATAGTTAACACCTCGGAGTCAGCTGCTCTGTGTGAGGCTCCGATTAATGCAATTTAGAGTACTTACCACTACCGCCATTGCAGCATAAAATGTTAGTCCCCGAAGTGCCGTAATGGTCCGGTTTATGACCTTGGCGCAACACCAACAAAATCAAAATTAAGGCCCCATTTCTGATGAAAATCGCTCCACTTTGCAACACGCATCACCTGGTTTGCACGATACAGATGGAATCCACAAAGCGAAAACCTGTATTAACAATCTTGTTAAGAGCTAGAATATTCCACTGTATTGTCTTATGACGTGTCTTTTCTTCCCTTAACCTAAAACCTAAAAATCTTGTTTCAGACATGCGTTGATCCTTGTAGAGCTGTTTCGCAGCATGGAATCCCTGTAAATAATGGACCACAAAAATTAAGCAGTAAACTTTTGGCCATAAAATATTAAAAAACTAAGTTGTCGAAGAACGGTCAACCAGCAAAAGTTGACGAATTATTCTAATCTAAGAAAGTAGTATTTGAAGGTCCAAGTAAACTCAAAGTTAAAAATTTGCTTCCTTTTGCTGATTCGACTCAATTTCCCCTTGAGAAGAGCACGAATAAGGCGACAAACGGTGCAAGCCACGTACTTAATAATATGCACCTAACTTAAACATCATAAACCACTTGCATTTTATAAGCTGTTTTAAAGGCGAAAAGTATTACCGGTTTGGCAATTTTGAATCCTACATTTATTTATATAAATGAATTCCAATAAGTTTCACATCATCTCTAAATAACCTGCAAGGAAAGATTATTTAATATATTTGCTAGAGATCAATGCATTCTCCTTGCGACACAAATAAAAAGGCAATTGTACTGTCCTACTTAATAAGAACAATAATCGAGAAAAATAAAGTTGGCAAGCGTTTTTAATGGGAACGTGAATTGGTCTCACTCTCAACTAGAGGTTGGTTAGGTGGCCAGACAGCAGATGTTAACAACCACACATCGAAAAAAAATGGTCTTCCATCTTTAGCCTGCCAAAAAATGCTGTGATTACTAAAATGAAACTTTGACATACAGAATTTTTTACATTCCTGTCGGACCAAACGCAAGAACTGTATTCAATTACTCCATAAAAAAGGCACGAAAAACGACGATGCATTGTTTGCTTCTAAAATTTTTTAAAAAAACCTGATTGAACAAGCTAGTAAGAATTCTCCTTCCTCAAATTGCGGATCTTCTGTAGTCAGCCGGTACTTGGACGTGAATCCAATGCAAATTCAACTAGCATGTACACAATTTAGTGATGATGCGTAACTGTGTATTTACGAGTGGAATATAAACAATCTAATATCAGCAAGAAAGTGGCCGTATTCCGGCATTTTTTAATGCCATGCCATTTGTAAGAGCTGTGACTAGGTCGGAAGTTAACCATCAAAACGTCTTAGATTGCGTTGGCTATTGCAATGTTAACTTTGACAGTAGTGACTTGGAAAACTAGGTAACACATGCGTAATTAGCTAACAATAGCGATGAGGGCTAAATTAGCGACTACACCGTTTTCGCCACCAAAATCATGTGCATTAACTCCGGCACGGCTTGAATCGCCAAAACTCATACTTTACTAGGAAACACTGCCGTCCACCAAAGTGTCTAATCAATATAGGAAAAATACGACACACCCGTTGTTTTACAATGAAAAGTTTGCGTAAATTTACCAAAAATTATTCTATTAACACCAGAACTTAATAACGTGCGCCGACATAATGAACATTCAACCATGATGCTTCATATCCGGCAGGTTATACAAGCCGCAAAACTTGATTTATGTATAACGGACACCAAAGATTACCGAAATATCTCGATACATCTATTATGAATTGGAACAACTACTAAAACAATGAGTAAAACACACGGAGATACAATCATCTGAAAGCCATAAAGTATACTTACTACTGCACTTTGAAGATTAATTTGTGTAGATAAAAAGTCCAACGTTGATGTCTTTAAACTTTGCATCGGAACTCGCCTATTTGTCCGATTCAGATACGATTACCGTCACAAATACTCATATAACTTGTCTGAATTGTTCAGTGATCAAACAAGGTCAACCTGTCGAACAAGGCAAAATCGGTAGAGGCTTGCTTGATGCACAGGCATACACTAATTTACAAAGTTGCACGTTTGCTGTATCGCTAAGGGTGATAGCGCCCGTAACGTCCCCCAGCTTGTTTAGTGCAGGATATATATGTGAATACTGGTGGTAGCAGACAAGTGCACCTCTAATACCCTAAAAAATCCGGACTTCAAAAGCGACTTTTTGGTTGCTGGAAAGGGTGCACGTTGCTTCCTCAAATATTTTAGATGAGTAAATGTGAATCACAGCAGGACAAGCTTCAGCAATGACCTCGTTACATTGGTCGTTTATTGGAAATAGTGTATACAGGCATAAGGTAGAAAAAGTCAACCTGAACAAATAAAGGCAGAGGAAGGCCTGTACAAGTGCGCATGTGAAGTGCTGCTGGGAGTGGTGAGAATATATTGCGAGGTAATAAAAACAAAAGGAGCTAACTGCCAATGCTACCAGCCTTCACCTGAGTTCTTACCGCGGCGATGTGCTAATGGAGGTTGCTGGTTTCCGACAGAGTTAGAAACACGACCAAGTTTCGCTGGGAGTAGAGAGGTGTGATTTGTTGCTGCGTGACGGCGAACCACACCCCTGCCCACGTCAGCACCAATCGTCTCTTCACTCGATGAGCTGCAGTTGCCGCCAGATGGATGACGTTTGAGTAGGTGCCAATCAAAAACGTAGTCCATTTTGTGCCCAAAGTCGATGAATAACACTCGAAAAAGTTGCCGCAGATAAGAGTAGTCGGGCGTTTCTTCGAAGCGCAAGTTCCGACAGTAATTCAGATATGTAGAAAACTCCGATGGGAAACCTTTACATAAAATCTCGGGAGGAGTGGCGATCTTCTTATCCCTAATTCTTTCGTATTTCTGACGTTTGTTATTCGCCTGTGATGAGAAAGAAGCAATACCGACACAAGTAGAGTTGCAACTAGCGAGATCATACCTGGAAATTCTAAGGTTGCAAAACAGCTGACTTACTTATGCAGTTGGGTATGAAAAATACGAAGTAATAAGTTAAAAATTAAGGAATAAAGTGCTAATTCATTCCAACAAATTTTTAAAATCTTCGCTTCGTTGGATTAAAAATAACCACATTTAGGAGCTAAGCACCTGTTTGCAGCAAATAAATACATGAAATACCTTGCGGTATTGCCTGATTGATGCTCCAGTCACAGAAAATATTACACATTAAATCAGCCAAGACCACGTGTCTAACTTTGATCAAAGCGCCCACACCCACAGCCAACCACTATGGCAGATTTCATTCCTCTACACCAACGTATTATGCTCAGGCGTGATAAATTAGAAATGAAACGAACGCATAATCGCAAAATAGACTAGCCCAGAGTATGAATTAAAGCAACCACGTAAATTAAAAGCTGCCTACCTTCAAACCCTGCCATGGTAAACTTCCCCGACTGAAATACATCAAGACATAACCAAGAGCCTCCAAATCGTCGCGACGAGACTGCTCAACTCCGATATGTGTGTTGATACTTGCATAACGAGCAGTTCCAGTTAAGTTTTTATTATCCCTAGTAATAATAATGAACAGTATGTGCAAACCTATATGGAATATGTTTCTTCGTTTTAGAACACATATACTTTTTGGCAAGACCAAAATCAATAATAAAAACCCGGTTAAACTGACGACCCATTCCCATGAGGAAGTTATCCGGCTTAATATCACGATGCAAATAGTACTTGGAGTGTAAAAATTCTATGCGCGATATCATCTGATCAGCCAACATAAGAACGGTCTTCGTGGTAAAATGCCGCGAACAATATAAAAATAAATCTTCGAGACTTGGTCCCAACAAGTCGATCACAAGATAACTGTTGTCCCCCTCACGTCCAAAATATCTAGGGGAATTAAATGGTTAGAGATACTTTACCTCATACGTGGGATCCCGACACCACCGATGAAAACTCGATACAATTTGCTTTCATACATAAGCTGTGGGTGTCTGATCTGGTTTGTTTCCACTTTAACGGCAACTTCCTGATACATTCAACAAAAATTCAAAACTTACTTCGCCTGTTTTTGTATTTAAACCCAGATATATGGTTCCGAACGAACCACTTCCGATTTTCCTAATTAATCTGTAAGTCCCGTTATTGATAACATCCCATTTGCCGTGCGTAGAGTCCGCCATAGTACAAAAAACCAAATGAATCCCAACCAATAGAAGTCGGCGATTGAAAACTGCACAACCTCGAATGATTAATTAAAACGAAAGTGTGATCTGTGTGATCCCAAATTTATTGGGTTACAAATAATAATACCCTTAGGGCTTTTGTTAAATCCAATTTCTAAACTCATTTTAGGTGGCCACAAACTATGGGGCAGCTTCAATACCAGTACGCTGGCAAAAAACTAGTTCCATTCATTTGTTAATTTACTTTTAAAGTTGGCATGTACCTGGCTTCAAAGGATCATAAAATACCTCTGTTTTTTGCAGGTAGCTACACCAAATAGTTGGGCAATTTGATAAACTAAGAAGTATTTTAGTAAAATACTAAATCACCCCCTCTTCCGTTATAGCTGGTGTGACAGGTTCAGCTGTTCTCTTTTACACCTCTGCAATCATGGATACATTAATGGTGTATTTAATAAATTTCGCGAAGGTGTACAGTGAGTTGATGAATTAATTTGTGTTGGGGTCAGAATTCATTGCCCTCACACAGGCTGATGGCGATAATCATTCCAAGTGTTTATGTATGCTAGCCTTTCTTCACTGAAAAGACACATTCAAGCAAATATGCATTACTTAGCTCCTCATTTTCCTTTAGAAACTTACACAGTTGTCTCTGATGGGTGGCATCTGCACATCCTATTGCTGGTTTCATTTTGCTTCCGTTAGTGTTTACACTTCGTCTTTGTATCCAACCAAGGTTGTGTCTTTGTACGGGTGTGAGTTTTTGTTGCGGACTGTAGTTAATTTTTTTTGCAAACTTGTGTAGTGCAAAATAGGTGGTTTTTGATGGTTTAAATTTCATTACACAGAAGGTATCATTGCTCCACGGATGATGGAACTTGCGATGTACTTTAGGTGGCAGAAGAGGTCTGCATAGATGTACTAGGTCTCTTTCTCGATAGTCTTTGGGCTAGCTGTGCCTTAAAAAATATCTCTTCCGTCTGATATGTGGCAATTGTAGGTGATTCTGTGTAATGTTGGAAATTTAACTCATCCCTTCTTTCCTTTGAAGTATGAAATCTGATATATTGTGGATTGCGAAATTCGCATTTGTTCGACCTTCGCAATCGGTGTAGTACCATGCTGAAGCTAACTGCTGATGCTTATATGCAGCAAACATTACCACCTTGTTGAAAAATCGTGTAACACTTATGTTGTTTTAAAGTTCCTTTCAGAGAGGAGGTGGGCAGACGAGTTGAATTTTGTGACTGAGGTGGCAACATTGAGCAACTCAAAGAGAGCTTCTTCAGTCACACTTCCCTAAACTTGTACTTTATTCCTTCATCTACTTATCCGAATAAACATGTTAAAGTCGAATCAACCCTGGTATTCTAAGAGTACAAGGATCAAAAAGAGGAAAATCTACGAGTCGCCCTACAGTTGGTATCCATGCCGCGGTTTGCCGGCCATAATGTGTGGTCGAACTCAGGGTCTGAACGGGGCGTTGTCCACCCCTCTACTCTGGTTGGAGGTAAGCTGCGGAAAGCTCGTTCCGCCTTTGTTGAAGCTGTCTCGCGTATTCCCCATTGACTTCTCCCACATGTTAACCGCAATGCAAGAACCATTTAACTAGTACCGATTCTTTCTGATTGATGACGAGTTAAGCAAAAGTAGCACAGCATCCTTCAACATGGTGTGTGGGTTATACCGGCCTTCACGGCGAAAGAGAATAGTTTCTGAGGGAGGGCGAGTAGGATCCACAGTGTTATTTGACGTTGACAGTAAAACCAAAGCCTATGCATTGCGTTTTCAAGCCAGTTTCAAAGTCCGTGTCGGTCTTTAAAAAGCGAAGGTTCGCCGAAGCTTACGAGTGTAACGAGTTCAGCGTTCCTCAAATCCACTTCTGCTTCCAGACTCTTGGAATGAGCAATCTGGCTAGAAGAGAGTGTCTTTTATTGAATAAATATCATAGAAATGTAGAGGGAATCAGGGTCAACGGCGCCCACTCAGCCATGAGGTTGGCCCCGATAAGCACTACCCACGTAAACGACGTACTCAACCAAACTCTCATTTTAACTAGTACTAAAGTAGTTGTGATAAAAGTGCTAACAATAAGAAAATTGATTGACTGTATTAAAGAGTGGTCACATTATAAAGCAAGATAAATAATTAAACCTCAATTTGTTTTAAAGAAAAACAATTGAGGTTCAACTGAAATTCTTTGGTGGTTCGCTTAAACCTGTATTTGATAAAGCCGGCCACCTAATTCTTCGCATATTCTACTTGCGTTCGAAGGCATGAGAATCCGAGCCATGCCACAGACATCAGCTCTTACGTACCACAGCAATTCATTTTCTACCATACTATAATGGCTTCCCGTGACTTCAGAGAACACTCGGGGCTCTACGATAATTGCTTTCAGGATTTCAATAGAAATACTTTAGCGGAACAGTTAAGGCTTATTACTTTTGAATCGACAGATCCGTTAACAGTGTTTTTATCAGTCCGCTGGTCTTGTTCATTAAATTATTTTGAGAGAGTAAACAGATAATAAGGATTTTTGCCACTAATTTAGTAAAATACTATTTGTTTTGCATGAATGTGACTTTTTTTGTATCACTTGTTTGTATTCATGATTAACAAAGTGTTTTTGGGAAGAGGCTCAGAAATGGGTCATAAAAATTGCCTTATCTTTGTGTTTCATCTCAGTTTTGCATAAAAACCTGTTATGCTCTCCGCTCTATTCTATTTGTCTATGCGACAAATTCGCTGATGCAATGCGTCCTATAGATATTGAAATCTATGGGGAGCATTTATGTGCGCTTAAGGGCTTTTACCAATGTCTTTAATGTCACATCAAGTAACCCGAAGTTGTGTATAGTGGCAATTGAAATGTCAAAGTTCTCATGTGTTGAAGGTTTTGTGTGTACTGAAGCGATTATTCCATCTAAATCAGTAATAATAAGTCAATCTTTAACAAATATGGTGCATGGGGTATAAATCTACGGTACAACTAACGCACACACAAATGTGAGTTTTTAATGGCAAAATTTTATTGTAGTTTATCCAACATTTATGAAAAAAATCAAACGTCTTTAAGATTAATGTCGATGAACGGCGTGATTAACTTTCTGCGTTGGGTGGCGATGTCGTCTCCATTCAATTAACATGTACCCACTTGCCAGTTTAATAGCCCAGAATATATTTTGGGTAACAATGATATGGAAGTACTTATACTAGAAGTACCTTTTATTATGAATGTGGCCGCGAAAAGCCGGTGATGGAATCTCTGTGATGGCTGGGGACAGAAATGGGCTCAGTCTAAATTCCACAGACTAGGTGCTCTGCATCAGCTCGTTGCGGAGGAGTTCGACGACACTGCTGAAGGATTCCAGAAGCGAACGACCCATCAAGAGAAAACAAGAGGAAGAGGACGTTTGGCTAGCCTCTCATACAGGAATAAAGGGTAACAGTGCTGACTACAAAGCTGAAAATAACGTGGAGCAGCGTGTTAGGAATGATAAAGAGGAGGAAGAACACTACTAATTCTTCCAAAATTTGAACATGAGCCTTATTCTTCATCCAATGGTAGAAGAGTGCACCATTAAAAATACCAGTTATATTTGCACTTACGCTAAAGAGAACAAAGGAGGAGCAATTAGGGGGAGGCTTAAGCGAGGCATTAATGTGGATTAGTTGGCAAAATTGGAAGCCCTCCTCATAAGCTCTTTGGTAGAATTCTGCACACACCCATACTATCCTACATACTCGATTAAACTAAACACTGCATGTATGCTTTTACCTAACCACTAACAAACCTAAGAATAATTTTAGTGTTGAGATTAAGTCAACTAAACTGATGAAATTTCACTGCTCCTCTTTGCCAGCATTACCGCAAGAATTGTGCCTAAAGTAAGCCCAATTGTTTCGACATGCCATGTGGCACCACTAAGGAAAATATAACCCTCTGTACCGACTATTCGACCTTAAGGTGCAACTCACTGTAGCATAACTATTAAATTACTAACTTCACACCGAAACAATTGGAACACATTTAGTAAAAGAACATTAAGAGTGTATTATATTAATCACCACGATAACAAAATATGTTGCTTTCCGTTTCGTACAACTTGACCTCAAGATCCATTTTGGAGTCAATGCTAGATCTTAGAGATCTCCAAATAAATACTGCAATATTTTCCGAAGTGCTCACCAAGTTTGTTTCGCGGAAATATTTGACATCCAAATCCAGATTTTTGTGATCCACTAAATTGAGAACGTTGGTTTGAATGATGCGCTTTAATTTTTTTAGGTCGATAACCATGCCCGTGACTGGGCTGACTTCACCGAAAACAGTTACCTCCATTTTAAAGTTATGGCCATGTCCATTTTCACCCGCGCACCTTCCGAAGATCCGAGTATTTTCCTCTTTATCGAGACTTGTATTAAATAGACGGTGTGCAGCCGAGAAAGTTTCCACACGCGTGACGTAAACTCGCGGATTCATTTTGACTAAAGCAATCAAACTACCCAGTGCTGAGACATTAAATACCGGCTGGGAGATGAAAATTATTGGTGGAAAACCGACCAGTAGGTAGTAGGAACAAGCACTTTAATCCAGTTTACTGTCATTCAGTAAGGCCATATACAAATTAATTTCCATGCATAGAATTAGCAATACACGTGCTAACTTCTTGTAAAATAGTTAATAATGTATGAGCTTAGCCAAGAAGCAATTTCTAATATGGTGTGCCTAATTAACTACTTACATTTAACTAGTCATTGCATTGAAACTTATAAGAAAAATAAATACTCCATCTTATAGACTTGCTGAAGTACAATATTGTTCCTTCTTGTTGAGACAAATGTTCCCCTTATTTGCGAAGTCACATCAAAGAAGTGATGGTTGAATTCACACCTAAAGAAGGTGTATATTTCGTAAAATGCACCGAATTATCTCCATCCCAGCTATATGTGTTTTATCACTTGACAAGTTGTATTAATTGAAAATGAGGCAAATCATTTGCCATTTGTGTAGTTCACCTAACTGACCCAAATGCACACCCCGGGTGTCCTTCCCTCTGCGGAGAGGGAGTGATTTGTCTAAGAAAGTTGAATTGAGGCTGTGCATTGTAGACATTAGTTACCTTGCGTTTTGTAACGGTTCTTGAACTTCTTGTGAGTACTCAGCCAACTTATGCAAAGTGTTTGCTAAGCTGGAGTAATTCACTATTATTAGCTGGTGGGGTGTCGCCAGATAATTGCATATACTCCCTTAAGTTTGTTCATTACTAGATTCCCCGTTTTTTCGAGTAAGTTGCATCTGACTGACTTGTTTACTTTGCTGAATTGTATCCTGTAGCACCAAGCACTTATTTTACCACGTGTACGTTCCACCAGGTCTTTTATTTGCCTTCAAGATTATCCATTTTTGTATTTTTGGGCCCAAGAATCGGGGGAACCTCGGTATGATCTACCAGAATGCCAATCAACTGAGGTATTTTGTGCCTAAACTTCATTTTAAGCTTCCAAAATGTGTAGAGTCACAGATTAAATGCTTCAAAAAAACTGCTGATTCTTCACTCTAACTTGCTTCATCCCCTTTTCAATGCGGAAAAAGTGGCAGATCTACCTCACCTCACACACTTGGACTTACATTCCAATAAATTTCGGTTGTTTCCTAATGAGGTCTTTTCGATGCCCCTTCTTAACGTAGTTTTGAATTAAATCTTTACGCAAAGTTATTATTTTACCATAGGTTTTGGATTTGAGCTTTAACGAAATCAGAGTGGTTCCTGATCGAATTGGTCTGCTCACCCGTATTAAACATTTAAACCTTGAAGGTGAACTTATTTGGTTTTGGCATGTTATTGGCAAGATTGCTGTAACCTGCGTTTTATTCGGTATAATTTGATGCTTGTTTTACAGAAAACTGCATTCAAAATCTTTCATCAACTATAGGGTATCTTCATACTTTAGAAGAACCCTGCTTTGATCAAAATCCGATAACTCGCTTACCTGTTGCTTTGGAAAATTTAAAACAGCTTAAAAACACTAACTTTCCTCTCAGTTCAATTACCCTCCCCTCGAAAGGTTTTGCGACTCAAAATTCTAACTGCTTCTTTAGATGTATATGATTTCGGATCCCAGCTATGCTCTCATTTCTTTGCAAAGGTATCCACGTTCATTTTCCTGAGCTTTGACTTATTTTCTTGAAATGGGTTTCGAAATTTTATGCATTCCAATAATTGGCATTTTCTGAAGGATATGGAGTGATTCCTACTATTACGAGTGTGATATAAGGTGATTGAGAAGGATTTGTTACCAGTTGTTTCTTGCATCCCTTGGCAAAGTAGCTGGAAGGTTAACGGAAGAAGAATCGACGTTTACTGATGCTGACGAAGTAAATTACATAAATGTTCTTTGTTCATCCTTACTTTTTACTGTAAGCGAAATACCTATAAACTGTTAATCTAATTTAGAATCTGATATTTCGAATGTTTCAGTAAATGAATATTTAGTATTTGGCTTGTGTGTATGTCTGTTGACACGACCTTTTAGCACTTTACAGGAATTAGTAATATCGGAGGATGACTAATGTTTTCAAGGCCTCAATTGAATACCTCATGTGATTGCAGTTTAAATGGGAGCTTTTCTGCGCTTGTGGTTTGTGTAATTTGGTAACCAATCTAGGTACAAATGTCAGGCCCCACTGTATGTTAAACCTAAAGGTGTGGAATACTGGTTTGACAATGTATTCTGACGTTTTAACTATTTTTGAAGCTCTTTTCTGGGATGGGTCGGTGCAAAGGGTATGGAGGTGGAGGATGGCATCCACCCAAAAAGCTTTACCGACAAGTGGAGGAGCACTTGTGCGCCCATGAGGAAATGGCGTGTCGGGCAGCTAAATCACGAGTCTCTTCTCTGAATAAACTTGCACAAGTATGCCTCCATTACAATCGTGCTTTACATGTTTTGATCGCCTCTCTCCCTTAGTGAATGTTTCACTTCGTTCTTGTTAATTTGTTCGTTCATTTTGAATCGACTTAGTCTTGTGTCGTCTGTAACTTCTTCAGTTATAATTTTTCCTTTGAAACTGAAATTTTATCAATGCAACTCTGAGAATGTATCCAGAGTCCAACCCAACGCTTAAGTACTTCTTCTTAACCCATTATGGCGCAGAAAGAGGGAGAAATGAAGAGCGAACTGGAGCAGTTGCGTAAACAACGAGAGGAAAGGAGACTCGAACTTGTGGCCACCCTTCGTGACACATTGAAACACGTGGATGATCCGATTCGCCATCTTCATCAAAAGCAATGGATTCAACGGGAAGATAACCAGCCACAATTCCCCATCAAACATCCATGTGAAACAATTACATCAGATCATCGGGAAATGATCCCAGGTTTGTTAAAATCCCTGTCTCATGGATAAAAATTAATTTGTTATGAAATGAGTCTTTCACCCCTTCTCTTAGGAACTTATCTGTTTGTTGTCCCTTGCTTCCTTTGTTTTTTGATGATCTATTACGCTTTATCATCAGAGTGCTCAAATTCACTAAAGTTTATTTAGGCCTTAACGTGTATTTTTGGAACCAAGCGAATGCGCCTTACTAGTAAAAACGGTGGCTTGAGAGCTGTCTTGCAAGTGTCTGCCTGGCACTGATAGCGATTTTCGATTAGCTAAAAATGGGGATTAAACCTTAACACATCTTACAGTGTCCAGTATTCTGCTTGGAATTTTCATTTTTATGTTTTTCTCCGCTATTTATGAATTAAGATTTGTCATGAAGGTGTCGTAAGTTGGATCCCAATGCTTCCCATCGGAAGAAGCAAGGTATTTTGCTATCACCACAGTGTGTCACCATTATGTACTTTCTTGAAACCCTGTTGTTTGGTTTGGTCTCGTTCGTTTCGCACGAACTACATCTTGAGCATAGCGGCACTGATTTTCAGACTTATCGAATCTCATATATCTAGCGGATCTTTTGTGATCTCTAGCGTCTTTTGAACCTGATTATTTCAATTTCTAGACTCGGTGGACGCTAGGCTTGACACCTCTAGGACAGGTCTAATGCGATGTTGTGGTTTAAGGGAGGATTGTTTAACCAGAGCAAACGGTCAGGACGAAATTGATTCTGAGCTGCAATGTATTCTAGTCAGCCGACAAGCAGAACGAGCTCAACTTGCCGCTCAGGTTGCAAATGAGGTAAATCAAGCCGTTAAGTTACAGGGAACTTTCTACTATCGTAGCTTTATTTGTGGTTAGAGTTTTCAAATCGAATTTTTACCGCAGTTGGCTGTGAATTTTCTAGTAATTCAATCATTTTCCATCGGCATCATCATCTTTTTTGTTCATTGTCACCTCAGAAAATTGTAGCACCAAAATGTGTTATTGAACTCTGCTTGTATGTTTATTGTCAGCTAGTCAACTGTCATGAGACGCTTAAGTAATTCATTGATGTACTTGAAGCAAATATCGTTGGGATGGGCGTTTACTTGATGCACTCAGTTTCAGTGTGGGAATTTTAAGAGCTGATGCAAAACGTTCTTCTCTATTCAATGGGAAGTCTGATCAATATTGCACTGCTGCAAGTTGGTGTTTATCCATAGTATTGTTATTTGTGCCTTGAGCTCACTGGTACCCTTAAACGCTATAGCGAATACAAAGTTAAACAAGCTATAATACTTTGAAGATATATAGTCCCTTAATTCAAATCAACTGCATTGCTGTGGTACCTCATCTATTTGCTCCATTTAGGAAAGTAAACAGATAAGGGTATTTGAATGCCTCCAACAACAACGTGATCTAAAGCGTCAGCAGATCGTTGATAATATTCGATTGGTGGAAACAGAACTCTGTAGTTTGACACAGGTTGAGAGAGAGCGCAAGAAATCCCAAAGCGCTTTAGTTGTGGTTCATTTTTCTGAGCGTCAGAGGCATCTCGTCCACTTGATGTCAGAGCTGCAGCACCAGAAAGAGCATCGTGAGTCGGATCTGCGGGAACTCCTGGTGAGCGCTGCTTCATGCCTTCGCATCGTTTAGATGCAATGGAAATTAGCTTGTTCCATATAATCTTGTGGTTGTCAAAAGGCTTATAACCTGCAAAGGAGTCTTTGTCCCTTTAAATTTTGTTACATTAAAAGTCAGCGATAAACAGCTCGACTATGCGCTTTTAACTAAATTAATTAAGGTAATTACAAATTTAGGTTTACACAAAAGTGTACTGCACCTGTTGGTTAAAGTGTTTATGATATGGTAGGATAAAGCATTGGTTCACTTTCATCATAATTCATCGAACTTTTCTCACCCCCCATTGGTCTGGTTCATTCGTTGTGGCTAAATGATATTCCCTATCTCGTTCTGTTTTCAGGTTTTTTGATTTAATAGAGGACTTGAGAACTTGGTGTTCATAACTTTTATTTTACAATAGAAGGAATTGGAAGAACAAAGGGAACGAGATCAGACGGAATATTGGCTGGTCCAATACCAACGTCTCATAGATAAGAAACCTTTGAATTTAAAAAAGGTATTTCCTGATGGTATTATTTTACCCCACTTAACCGCCATATCATCCCGATTATCTTGGACTCAATCCACCTACTGTCTTTATAAATACACCAGATGCAAATCTATATTTTAACAAATTTAAGCAGGCAAAGTCAGGTCTTGTCCACATTTGCTCTGATTTTCGGCTTAACTGTAGAATTATTTGTCCAGAATTACTTGTGCATATGTGATCGTACTTTATTGAAGTCATGTAAAATGAAATCTAGGCGCTTTCACTTGTTTTGGTAATTAGCACATTGAATTCCTCCTTATGATCTAGGAACTTTTGATGGGCGATGATGTATGCGCACTTCCAGCAGCACCCATTGCCTCTGAACACGTGGGTAACTTTGAGAATCATCACTCACCTTCTGACATGCCTACCTCGCTTGCAGTAGAGGATACAATTTTGGTGTGTCCGCTATTTGATTGTAAAAGCAAGTATTTTTATCGTAGTGTACTTCACTAGCTTACATGTTTTTTCTGTTTCTTTGTTCTTGTGCTAGCTGTTTATAGCATTAACCCGCTTTTCTATTATAACACCAAAAAGGTGCTTCATGCAATTTTACTCAGGAAAATCTCTATTACAGAAGATCCTTCTCCCAAAAACCATACTCAATTACCCGTGTTATTATTGGATTAATCATTATCGCTGTTAGAGGGTTGAAAAGTGTGCTACACAATTTCTACCATTTTGTGCACTGGAGATAATGTCATTGGTGTTCGAAAAGCAACTCTCCAAACCATTTTGGAATGTATGAACCTAGAGATCGGCTATCCCTTTCATATTTTGTTATCTGACGCCTGTGCGGTGTCGATTTCATCTTATTACGTTGCTCATAAAAGGCAAAGACCACATAAGCAGAGTAGTATTAACGGTTCTAGCAGTTGATTATGATTGATAGATCTGACAGCTAGGTAAACAGCTTATTTTATTCATAATCTAGCTAGGCATTTAAATGGGAAAGTTTCAATTCGCACATGTCATTAAGCCGAACAAAACCCGACTATAGGTGCAGTCTCCGCACCTTCTTTTGCGACTCTCTTCTGGTACAGACGTTTTTACAGTCTAACACCAGTTCCCATTGTATTAATTGAGTCATGATTGTCAGCAACACCTCCCAATTCTCACTAGGACTCTTTACCAGTACTTTCTGCACCGAGTGAAAAGGCGAATGGAGGCGGATTGACTATGATTAACACCGGTGATAATGGAATGGTGTCGCCCAGCGCTCCACCCGCAATTATAGCTCGCTTCGAGAGCGAGTGTTGTATATGCCAGGATGCTCAGGTGATTTGTGGTTCATACTCTCCTTTTCATTTAATTCCTTTTAATTGTTGTTGACCAGACATGTAGAAATTGTTTTAATTTCATTCCTTTTAAGCACGGGCTCTTCGCGCGATTTCATTCCATTCGTGTTTAACCCACAAACCCGCACTCTCCATTAGGAGTACAATTTATTACTTTAACAGGGGTGGGACACTGTATACTACGCATGAAGAGTTAGGTCAATCCACAGGCTGCACTTTCTTCGCTTTATTTTAGTGTTCAATCATATTCCTTCCATGTGGTCACGTTTGTTGCTGTAAACTGTGTTCAGCCAAAGTCATCCTTTGCCCTCTGTGCCGTAATACCGTGGAACAACACATCCAACTCCCCTAAGGGCGACAGATCGTCCGCACCTTTATCGATATTGTTCGGTTTTCAAATACCCCTAACAAGCAGCATCAGTCGCATTTAAAGAATCAATTATTTCACTGAATGATATGACTTCAGATCGATTACCAGTTTAGTAGATGTTGTACCTAAGTTTTGAGTTCACGCTTATAAAAACGCATTTTTGACCTATCACTATTCTTTGGCGTACTTGGCAATTCCTAAAAAATGTTGATTTCAAACACATTTCAGTCCAAACTCGGCTATGGTATCGTTTGAAATCTGTTTGTAGGCTTTATTATTGAGATGCATTCCTGCAGAGGCTCAAACGAGACAAAATCTTAATGGTACTGGTTAGAGCGTCGTGTAGCATGGAGTGGTATTGAATACCCCACTATCAGATACCGATCCCTGGTTCTGTACAATACTTAGCAGATGAATCGCGGTATTCACAAATCAAACCTCGGGTTTCTGATATGACTGCAAAGCGTAAAGCACAGTGAAGGGTGCTCTGAAAATATCCCGTCCGATCTGTCTCCCGGTATGTGCTCTTCTCAGACCGAAAACCAAAGTTACAATTCATCAATAAATAGCGAGATCTAGGGTTAAATCAACATTTGAAACCGCAGAGGAACTTTTACAAAGCTGGATAAAACAACGGTTTATGGCGTCCGAATTAGTTCTGACTAAGGTTATTTAGAAATATGGAGGGTAGCAAGATACAGGTGGGTAGTTATAAGCATAGTTAGAATCCGGCAGCGTTGATTCCCAAAATTGAGTCTAGAGCATCAGCCATACCAAACGAGCCAAAAAGGCTTTGAGAGAAAGAGAGTAGGATGTTTATTAATGTGGATTCGTGGAAGCTTTTACTGAATAGAGTAGCAAAAATAGACTTAAGGGGGGTGCATGTCTGACTTGTGCATAAAGTGGAAGATTTGTTGAGAGGATAAATCAAAGGCACACATAAGTGAGAACTGTATTTACAAACGGCGAGCAAGGTACCCTTAAGCCCCATCAGCATCCCCGAAAACCCTCTTGGTGACCATGAAAAATGCTTGCGTGCTGCGCGGATCAAGCTCGTTGTAACCACTTGAGCTGACATCGCTAGATGCATTATTCTCTGTCGCTGTCGCCCCCGCTGGGGTCATCCGACGCAGATGCACAGGCTTTGGAGGAACGGCTGGAAACGCATTCGCCACTCCATGACTGCCGCGTTGATGCGGAGGAAAATCCAGGTTTTCCGCATCCAAATAGTGGATCGCTGATCCGCTGGTAGCAGCAGCAGCGTCTGATGCGCTCTTCGGCTAATGTTGGGTAGGCATACATGAAACAGACACACTACACCAATTTCTCTTGAGATGGTTCTAGATACTAAACTACGAGTCAAACAGTAGATGAAAACTAGGGCAAGATAATCGAATAAAAATGTTAAATTATGCGATTATATTCAAAAGCCCAGCAGTTTTTGTCATATTCTATAAATAATAAAATTGCCAATTAATTAGTGTTCTTTCAATGAATAAAAGCAGCTAATTTATACCAATCTAATTATCGTCATACCCATGACGTATCTACAAACACGGTAAGTCTATCTAAACAAGCCTCCTGAGCAGCTTGGCAAGGAGATTCCAAAGCACGTAATTTCGTCACCCACCTTCGTACCAGCGCCTTCCCCCAGAATGGAGGGAGCAAAATCATTGGATAGTGAAGCTGCAGCCTCGGCCTCGCCAGCACCGCTGAGGGGTATCGAGCTGCTAGCGTTTCCGTTACCATCGGCATCACTCTCATTAATGTCACCGAATGAGACCGCACTCGATGAAGACGAGGTTGTATGGGTTCGGGATCGTTTAGGCAACTGGGTTCTGTTTTACACAAAAGCACTTTTTCAAGTGACTGCGTAGAATGCGTTTCATAATGGTGGGATTTGAAGGCTACATTGTTGCAATATCACAGTTATGAGAGGTAAAAATGCCGAAGTCTCCCGAAAGTATATTCTGTTGATGATAAAAGAACTAAAGAACCTGATTGCTGAGCTTCTATGGCACGTAAGGGAGGGAGTCATGCGCCGCAACCCACTTGCTAAAATTCTCGGGGATGGAGCAAGGAGATTCTTCGGTATGTGGCTGGCAACGCGTTTTTGTCTCTTTGCGCTCCGCAGTGCCCAGAACCTCCTTGTCTGGCTGTTCTGATTCTGATAACTTGGAGTGATCGCCAATAGCTATTTCAAGAAAGGGTAATCAGTTCGTAAAAGACGCACCGTCATTAATGTTGGCATCGATTGTTGATGAATCCCATACGTTGAAGTAGACACTGTCCGGACGAGGACCGTGTCCATCATGTAAAGGCTCTAAATAGAGATAACACTAGTTGAATGTTTTTTCTCAAACCTTAAAAAACGCCGAGTATCACTCAAATGGTGATACTAAGGAAAAACAAAAACACTATGATCTGGCATTTGTTTAAAAAGTTAGGGTAAATGAAATCCGATGATGAAGTCATGAAGAGAAAAGGATCGATAACAGCGGTGAAATTTAAATAAGAAGCAAGGGGTGGTGCACCTCGAGAGTTTCACTGAATAGTTTTTACAATGGACAAATGTTTCAAGTAGGAAAAAACGATTAAATATGCGCTTCACTGGGTAATGATACCCTTGAACGCTTTCATGAAGCCAAAGGAAGCATAAAAATGATAAAAGCATATGTTCAACTATCATCCACTACATCATACAATGTAATATTAGCAAGGCACGTTATATTTACGGGTTCATCAACCACCTGTTAAAAGTATTACCTTGGTCACTTTGGAAATTTGCTCCATTGACTGCGCTTCCATCACCTTTGAGGTTTACATAAGCGTGGTCGGGTTGCGGTAATACCTAAAGGTAAACAGAGTTCACCAACAACCAACAGTACCCAATGACTACGTTGCCATCGTTGTTTGATCTATTCGTTGTTCGCAATTTCAGGCAGTAATGTGATCACGAAATCGTCCAAAGCAGAAGTAATTCAAACTACCGAAGCTTGAAAACATTTTAGATGATTCGCTTAAAGCAATTATCTTAGTGGTCTGGAAATTGCTGCGATACATTAGTACATAGAGCAGCGAATCCCTATCGTCCAAATTACTTCGATCGACAGTCATGGGTACACCGATGCAGTACTTTCAGTGTGGACGAAATCACAACAAATAAAATGAAATGTGAACTAGCAAACTTTAACTGGTCAAGAGATCACTTTTCAATGCTTTGACGGGAGGAGCATCTTGATCGCGATCTAAACTGTTGATTAGTCAATAGACCCCCTAGAAACATCAATCTACCGTATCTGATGGGCACCTTAACATATTATACAGATTAAATTTATTTTCACCACAGCCATTAAACAAAATTGTTTACATTGACAACAGATGCGTTTATGCACATGCACTTCGCATTCTGCACAAGCGCTCAAAGCATCAATTAAGCAGGTCACACAGGTTAGCATCTAAATACGGCAAATGCATCTTCAAACATCTGTGGTTTGCACCACTGACTCGCAAATTTGGAGAAGCAATTAAAGACAACAAGCATTATTGGTTTCAGGGTTGCTTACGTGATAGCAGTCCTCATCATCAGCTGTAGTTTCTCCAAATGATGTTCTGTATTCCTCAGTAAACCCACGCTCCAGATAACCCTGCGACTAAAAATGCAAACTTTAATGAGGTCAAGAAGATGAACGTAGGCTGCATAAAAATTGCATGAACCGAGTAGGAAAACAAATCAAAGCGCAAACTCACAATGCTCGTCGGGAACTGTTTGAAAAAATGCTAGCGATCGATAAGACAAATCAACCTAATCTGACAGTATAATGAAGTGCCAGAACCTACATAGAAACTGTAGGATCCGCAGAAAACTAATTTCTTAAAACAGCGAATTAAGGTCAGTACCCAAAATTCCATATCACCATATGAGAACCATTAAACTCGCTTTTCCAAAAAAGACTGTTCATTCTGCGGGTGCTTTAAAGTATAGTAGTAGTATACCATAAAGACTACAGTGATGCCTCACTGTATTTACATGATTTGGAACGAAAAGTAGAGTACCCTGATGAGATAAAGCAAGCATTGAAATGGCTAAGAACGGAAAGTGAGTAACGAAGCGTGCGTGCAAAAGCTAAAAAATGGGTAGCTGAACAAACTATCTGTAAATATTGGACCACCAGGCTTTAGATTCATTTAGGATGCACTGATCAAGCCATTATCAAACGCAATCATGGTGGGAGTCATCTACATGGATGCGGGTAAACTTCTTCAGGGCATGCGTAATGCAGTTCCCATGGAATCTCCACTCACTTCCGTACCATAAGTTACAAAGGTCTACATGTTTCTTACAGGCAACCACGCGATCCGACACAGCAAAACCCTACTATCATGGTAACCCAGAATGTCTTGAATTTCCCAAGATTTTTGAACTTCCAACTATGATAAAGTATTTAATGGGCAACTACAAAACTCAAATTGCACTCGAGTATGTACTTCCAATAATTCCATCTGAGTAAAACTAGTGCAAATCATCGCAAAGGTTACCACTGTTATCGCTACCACTCACCTCGTTGGATTCGTTGGAGTTCATGAGAAAATTTGACACTTTAGCAGTGGTTGCTGGAATTACAGTGGACATCACTGGTCTTCGGGATGTAAAGTGGGTTAAACTGGAACTGTTTCGCCCAATCATATCTATAAAACAGAATGACTCGGTGGATACCGTATTTCATTGATGAGACATTCATTAGATTCTTGAATAAATTCTAACTCCCAGTTAAATAAAAGTCTTGAAATCAGAAACAGTACACCACCATGGATATGGTTGATGTGAACCTAAGCATACTAACCAACGAGAGGTGAACCCGGGATTTGGTCGGGTACCATACGCAAAACCTTAGTAAGTTGTGAGATCCAATCATTCATTTCTTCCAATGAATCGGCAGAGAAGAGGTAATCACGCACCTTGCCTCGATACGTGGTTTTTATTACGAACACATTAGACCATCTATTACAAGCCTTTTGTTCATAGATGCAGTCGCAGGAGTTGAGGTCTACACCACCTAAAACAAAATCAAGCATTAAACCAGTATACCAGTAACAACTGCGAAAAACATTGTTTAAAGAACCAAGAAAAACAAAACACTTTCTATCTAGGAAATACTAGCCAATGAAGGTATCTTGGATAGGTATTTTGCACTTTAAGAATGGAATACCTAGGGGATGATTGTCCGACTCATTCTTGTAATATTCAAAGAATATCTGAGTTTCAGTTGGATTACGAATTTTGTAGAATACACAAAACCGTTTCTTCCATCGCTAAAATTGAAGAGAAATTCAAGTATATTCGGGCCCACAGTCACAGTAAACAAATAGTGCGATCAAGAACCACTCACGGGCTCAAGAAGGACGTGGCAGCCCGTGCAAAGAAACTGTAAAGCAGAAGACGTTAAATAACATCTAGTAAAAACAACATTACAACGACGTCTTACACTTAGGCCTTGGTATTTCAGTTTTCTACCAGCTGAAGGAGCTTTTCTTAAATAGCCCTTAATTAGAACTTCGCGACTTTACAATAAGATATTTAAGTGGAACAAACCCAATTGGTTTGTATTCTCCCATATCAATCAAAAATTAACTTCAAAGCAGTGGCCATAGGTTGCCTCCAGTACACACGTAAAAAGTAACCAATGAAAAGACAACATAAAAACTGTAAACCAATCCATAAACAGACCTTGAAAAGCTCTCCTTAACACCATCAAAGTGTCGAAAATAATCATAGATATCACTTACGAACACTGGCACCATCTATTTATCCCACAAATCACATTTTAGGTAAAATTCAAGGTTCGAATTCACACATTAAGTAAAAAAGTAGGAGTTAATGGTTTGCAAAATTGAGTAGATACCGAATCAGGCAGTGAGTGCAAAATTCTTAATTAATTTGAGTTAGTAGAATATTTAGGCTGTTAGTGGAAAGGCGTGTTAAAGCAGTAAAAGGTTAATAGATGTGTTGATTAGCTGAAGGTTCTTATTAATTGAATTTGAACCAGCTAGTGTAGGGTAGATGGCCCAGACTTGTCGCTACACTAGTCAAATTTCGTTAACCCAAATAAAATTTTCCAAAATAGGTATAAAAGCAAATTTTTACAATTGGACCCGATTTTATTATAACTTTTGTGCCTTACTAATATCACATGTGTCAGACCAGGACCTCGCATTTTTTTTAAAACGACTTGTGCTTCAAAATATTAGCTCTTTTTTGTCTGCCTACCGACCTTAAACCATTGGTTTGTTTGAATAGTTGTCTGCGTTTTCCGCTTGATTTAGTACAATTGGGGTGTGGCTATTTGCCGCTCTTTCGTTGCTTAGGTGGGTTAGTATTCCCTAGTTTTGGGAACTGAGTTCGACTATGCGTGTATTTAAATTTGCCGCATGGTACTTTAGGAAAGTCTTTTTTGCACTCATTGCCCACTAAATGTTTACATGTAATTTGGTACGTAAAAGCAACTATAGAAAGTGTTCTTCTTGCTGTTATTTGCATGGCCTGAAGGATTCTCCCGACCTTCTTTTCCGGGCAAAGTTAACTAGTAAACAAGCATGTTTTCTTAGTTAATATATTGTTGCTTCTAGATTAATGCTGGGACTGGATCTTAAGACGTCGTTTTAGTGCAATTGAGTTCGCATTATTCTTTTACGCAAGCATCGCGCCTGATGTCATGGGGTTGTTGTGCTTGTAATTTGCACTGTTATGCTTACACATCATTGCCTCGTCCTCAACAGGCACTTGTCAATCCCCTAGATCTCAAACCTCTTACGTTAGGGAATAGGTGAGATAATTGTCTTAGTAGTATATCACTGTAATCTTTTTACTGCACAGTAGGAAATGTCCGAGGAGCTGAAATCTTTTCCGCACCACCGAAAGGTTGGACCCTGCACCAGTAGACCTCCTTATAGAGATAGTAAACGGAAGCGGGCTGTGAAGGTCTACTTTTTTATCCCCTAACGATCTATTCAGGTTTTCACAATTGCTGATGAATCTATGTATCTACTCATTTTCGGTGTGCCATCGATTGATTTGCTAAATCCTCTCAAAGAAAGAATTCAACAGATTGAATCGATGCACCAGTTTCATAAAGTCACTCATCCAGAATCCGAGGCGTTTACAGAAACGTATATTGCGAAATTTGGTTCTGTGAATTCAGCAAGGTAATTTTTCCTATTTTTGAGTACTACTGGGCATTACAAGTAATGTTTTTCCCAATCTGCTGTTTTATCAACTTTCGCTTTTAAAACTATATCAAGAAATGTTAAGAGGCGTCTTGATGATTCGCCATTCTACGGTGGATTTCTTCATATTGTGTATGCGCCCGAGTTTGAGTCCGTAGCAGAGTGCCGTGTCAAGATGCATTCCTATCGCAGGTTCAACGACACAGTGGCACGTAAAGCGAGTTAGTCTTTTGATAGCCTTTCTTTCCAACCTTATCGATTTTCGTAGTGTTTCCTGTAGTTGTTTTGCCTATTTGTGAAAGTGTATGCAGGTCACTGCTCGCATTTTGCTTTTGTGAACTGCACCATGTAATATGAACGCTGTCGCTGTTATGCAGTATGTACTTATTGTTGGTAGGTAGTGACGAGTTTTATAGTTCCTTTGCGTTTTTTTCTATTTCTTGTGTGCCTTTACAATTGAAGTCTAGTACTATTTTACCCTTCTACTCGGATATTAATACAGCTAGTTAAAACGCGATCCGACTCACCATGACCCTAGAAACCATTTTTAATAACAGTTATTTCCGTTATGTTCGCCTACTTTCTCTGTGCGGCTACTGATTCTGTAGTGGTTTATATTTTATCAAAAAATGTCAATTAACATATGGGATCGTCTTCATTTTTGAAAATCCTGTGATTTTGCTGTTCTTGTTCATCTACTTGCTATTTTTGTGAGCTCAATTTGTGTAAATGCATAAATAGATCATGGTATCACTTAGTTAAAATAAGTTATCTTACTCATATTTCAACTTCTCAACCTGTCACAAAGGTTAGATGCGAATTGGGCCCAATTTCCTAAAAATTTCTACTGTTATAAATTGGCGATTGCAGACATTTAGATGATTGACTCTACTTTTTTCGGACGTTGACCCAAACCACAGCTGTGACGTTCTTTAGTGATATTAGCTGTTTCATTCTAATGATTACTCCGTTTCTTCGCTTTTCCTTTGCCTAGCTGCAGCAAGGTCGCTGGAGATGAAAGAGTGTCAGCGAAGTTCATTAAATACTGAAAAAACCGAAGTGGGTCTCGAAGTGAACAATGAATTGCAAACATCCTCCTGCATCTCACTGCAAACGAAACAAGTTTCTGCTCCTCCATTGACAACCAGTTGGGGGGATCCGGTTTCATTTAGCAATCCCTACTCAAAGACTCTGCCTATGGTCTTGGCGTCACAAAATCAACAGCAAAGGGGTGACGCACTTGACGACGCACGTAATTACTGGGCCTCGAGAGGGTTCGATTTTCCAGATAGCTCTAAACATCATCCTATCCACTCTGCCCAACCAAAATCCATCCCATTCTCCACAAAACAGTAAGTTCATGTCAAAGTTGTGTTTCACTTTTTTTCGTACTTGGTATTATATTGTTAACCTTAATGACGAAGATCCACTATTCGGCTTCGATTTGTGGTGGCAGTTTTATGCCTATTCTTATGGCGACCATGCGCCTGCCGGATTCATGCATATAGTCCTTATGAGTTGCTTGCATGTTTTACAGGCTTTCTGTCTATTTCTGGTCATCGTGTCAGACCTTCTTGTTTATTTTTTATTTATATACCAAGATCGTGTTTATTAAGCCCCTGTTTCCCTTATTGCGTATTGAGTTCAAATAAGTTGGAGGATGCTCTTGTTTGTGCTCACCTTTGGTGGATCTTTTTGAGGATTGTTAAACCACTTGTATTCTGCCAATTCATTTGCCCTCTCGTATCAAATGAGTATCTTTAGTCTATTTGCTTCGCATTTTGCGGAACCGTCTGTCTTAGGTAAATTTAAATATCACTTATTTTTTCACTATATTTGAAGATTTTTTGGAAACTTGCTTGTGTGAATCTAGAAAAACGGCGATAACTAATCGTTGATGTTTAACCGTACTTAACTTCCTAGACAAGCACTGCATCTTGTTTGTGCTTTCCGAAGAATCTTAAAGTCCGAAATTCAGATTTCTTTCATAGGGTCCACCATTTAGGTTTTAAAATACCATTAGGCTATTGGTGGATTCATGAGTTGTTATCAAGGTATTTGGGTTCATGTTAAAGTCTCACACCCCTTTCTGGCTTGCTGGACAAACACAAAATATGGTTTCATGTTTTCCCCGTAACTGCTCAGAATTCCTACGGAAGAAATTGTTGCGTGTTCTGTATAATTACTTTTTTACCTTGTGTTAAATGAGGGTATATTGGTGACTCACTTTTTGTGATCTTTTCTGCTCCAGTTGCCTGAGTGAATGAAATCGAGATATTTTGCTGCTAAATTTTAAGAAACATCCTTGTTCCATCGTCGTTTGTTCCAGGATCAAGTAGTTTTAACCACTGTTTGGAGATACGGCGTTTTATTCGTGTTAGGCTGTCTTTATTGTGCTAAAATTATTTTTTGAGACTCAGATGTATGCATTACCATCTTCTTTCACTCATGTGTCACTGTATTTTGTCTGTTTCGCCGTACAGATACTTTCCTTCGCACGAACGTAGCTGAAAAAAAAGTTGGTTTTTGGCTGCCTTGAGTTAAGGAAATCCATAATTCCTGAATCCTTCTGCGAATTGGTGTACATTCTTCACAGTCACTCCTTGCTTAAGATCTGAAATATGCGCTATGCGCTGCATTGCCTTTGCTACCTACAGATCGCCTGCGAAGAAGCTGACCATTAATGGCTGCCATGACTCCCATCTTTGTGCTTGTGGAAAACATTTATCTACATCGCTGGGAGGCATAAGGGTTTGCGAGTGAGCTATCATTGAAAGTGAAAAATTCAGCCCATACGCTATGTGCCCCTTTTTACGATCCTACAATTTTGAACATTACTAGCATTACAATGATCAGTAATACGTAATTTATTGCTACTGCTTAATGTCCAGCATTTTTTTCGTGCTCCGGTGAGTTTTGGGGCGTGTTACCGTGGTAGTGGACGTTTACATTCCCCTTATTCGGTTTGTCCATATGTGGTCAAGGATTTTCAAACGAAACCGCCACCCACGCGACTTGGTCTTTGAGGTTACACAGCGAAAATATTGCGCTTTTATAATGTCTCCATTCTTCTTTCCCAAGTTCTACTTCAGTGGAGCGCTCCATCATCGCAGATTCAGCTTATTTGGTTTCCCTCAATGTTCGTTCCACGGTTGCCTCTCACGTGTTATTCTTGACATCAATTACTTTTGCATATAAATGCATATTTTACCCTCATATTGCAAACGAATTTATGTAGCTGGGATATTTAAAGTTAGTGCAGGTGACACCGCCTACCGATGGCCTCATACCGACAGTCCGGAAGCGAAAATCAAGTTTCCCTCCTATTTGAACGCTTTTTTAACTGACACGGTGTTATCACTCTATTATTCCAATTTGCCTTGTTCTCGTGATAAAAGTGTGCTGTGTGCCTGACCGCTTCAAATAGAGCACTTTTATTTTCCATTCATGAGTTATTTACCAAGTTATCAATATTAATTCTTGGGCTCAGTAATATTGAGTACCCAGTAGAAATAGTATAAATTAGTTGATTTGTTTTTTCACTTAATCTAGCCTCTGGAAAAGCGCTTCGCTTTCAAAGTGGCACACAATTGTTTTGGAACACACACTTGAATTTTCTATGGTAGAAAATAAAGTAATTCATGCAGGGTGTTTCCAGTCCGATAAATTTTGTTAGACATTTTAGCCTTTTTCAATATTTTACTCTGCTATCTTCCGCTCTCATCAAACAGTCGTGACTCCATCTTTAATTTGATGTCTGTGAAAAACCTTCAGCATATTCTTTGAACCCCTACACACCTATTTCGTACGATGCCAAGTGATGAGTGTTCTTGTCACTTAAATATCATTTTCTCATATTTGCTCCCAATCAGTAGTTATACCTTTTTACCACAGTCCTCGGTGTGTCTTGATTTTCAGACTGACGTAAAGTTACTCATGCTCCTAGTTTTAGTGTATGAAGTTTTGTTTAGCATCAGTTTGATCCGTCTTGGTAGTTGATGTAGATTTTTGAAATACGTGATTACCGACTAGCTCGGACATGACACCCATCTCATACTCATTTGGAAAAAGATGGATGTCATTTAAAACAATAATATACGCGTTGTGAACTAGTACCACCGTTAATAGATCTAATGCGTTATCGTTGCTGCTCCTGGTTTTCATCTGTACTTATAAATCGGTGTTGTGGTCGTGCTGAACGCTGCAAAAGGAATATACATACTTTTGATAAAATTTTATGGCCTCTTGGGGGTTAATCTGGATGAATTCAGCCTTCTGGGCCTTTGCACAGTTATTGAATGCTTAAATGGGTAACTAGAATTCTGCTTAGTTTTTTTATCGGGGTGAATGTTAATTAGTAGGCTTTATTTACTCCGAATCGGGAAAAAGATTTCATGAACTCTGATTTTTAGCAAACCTTCAATTTCATCTAATTTCCTTCTCTTTAGAAGCACTATGCTACCTTTTCGTAATATGTTTAGCTCCTGGCTTGAAATAAACAAGGAATCAAATTGTTTGGAACAAAATTATCAACTTAATTTCGGACATTGCCTTATGTAGAAGCATCCATCACTACGTCATAGCTCTTAATTGGTATTGTTTTTGTTTTTCGTGTTTTGATATATTCCTGAGCCCTCACATTTAAATGTATTTTCTTCAAGCACGTTTTTGCATGAAGAGTTCTTCTACATTTTCTTTTTAAACTCGTATTTTACTCCACAAGCCTATCTGACCATGTAGACTGAATAAATGAAATCGCCTCGGAAATGCCCGGTGATCCACCTGCAAATTTTCCTCGATCATTTATTTCAGTCTTCTCGTGTCTACCTATTCTTGGAAAGCCGCATCATCGTTAGGCTTCCTTTTGTATAATAATTACCTTTTCAAGGCTCCCCAGTGCCAAATCCTCTATTCTAAATACGACCGTCAGGTAACCCCATGCATTAAGCAGTTTGTGAATGTAGTTTGGACATTACTTGACTTTGAACTTGTCCATTCACTTACATAAAATCATCAGCTCATTTCTAACATAGTATCACTGTTTTTGCAATGCAGAATCATAATTTTTCATGAACTGTATTTGATTAAACATGTCGTCTTCCTTTGCGTTTTTGTACACGCTTTTTTCATGTACTTGGATGATCCCCATAGCCTTTGTTAGATAATTGAATCTGTCATATCATATCTTTGGAATAATTTGCATGGGTGATCTAAAACTCAGCTTTTCTGTGGGATTACGATAAAATATTGCATCGTAAGCTTTTAAAACTACCTAATATATTTTCATACCTCATGTAACTGTGAGGTTTTCAAATATCAAGTCACATATCCTCATTTTTGCGCTTTTCATGTACTTACCTGGGATTGTCTGTATCGGGACGCTGTTTTTTATTAAAATCAGTTTTCATTTCGCCTATTTGTTTACAGCTTCCACTCATTTTCCATGTAATCCCCTTTGTTGTAAACATTTACTTTGGAATTTCTTACAGCCGTGCGTTTTTGCGTGCTATAACCGTCAGAAGGAACCTCCTTTGGGTTTCGATAAATCCTGTTTTATTGGTAAATTAAATTAGTTGGGGTTTTTATCCTCCTGGTTCTTTCAATGTATTGTCATTAAACTGACTTCATCAATAACGGATAGTAGCCCTTTTTATTTGCTTTTTGATTTATAACCTCAAGTGACATTTCTTGGGTAGTTTTGTTGCAATTAAAGGCTTATAAACGCTGGAATCTTCTTAAGCAGGTTAAAACGCTGGGACCACGCACGCTAGGGAATCAGTGGTGTACTGACCCCTTTTAGAAACGCTGAAAGCACCTATTTGTCAAAATTACCTTTTTGAAACAGCCCATAACTCCTAACTGTGTCTACAAGCTCTACTTGCCTCCAAAATTGTTACTGATGCTAATCCAGTTAATCATGCTTAAAACTATGGCTCTACCAAATTTAAGCTTTTCTTTTTTATCCAAGAGCACGCTCTGCGCACCACGTGCTTTTTGATCATATACTCAGCTTGGGTCAATTGACTTATTAGGAAATTGCCCATAATCTACAAATGTGTATTTGCTGCTAATATACGATGCACGAAATACTTTACCATGGATTAGCTTTTGACTTTTTATGAGTGGGTAGTTCCAGCGTTTTGCATTTCATTTAAGACAATTATATTGATAAGCATACTGGTTCCTGTGTCCTTTAGATCTTAAAATTTGTTTTTATACGTGCAAAACACTGCACCTAAATCACTTTTTGCGTAATTATCTTCACACAGAACTCTGTTTTGCGAGGCATTGATTCAGCATGTCCATTTTATCACTTTTCGTCGATGACTCATCTTCTATCATATGCACCACTTTTCTGCCGTCGTTATCCCTCCGCAGAATTGTCCTCTAAGCAGTCTCGTGTTTATCGAGGTTCATTCACCGAAAACTACTCCTGCTACTCAAATGTGAGGTTGCAAACTTATTAAGTCTTTGTTTTTTGTTTATTAATGCAATAACGTCATCAACTTCTACCTAAATTCCATGCTTCTTAAACGACAAATAAATGAGTAAATCGATCTGTTTATCACCAAGCACATCCCGTTCATTATTTGTTTCTAATTTCCCGCTCTTTGTGCCATTAATTAAAAATTTTTTAACATTATTTCCTCACAGTATCCATTTGTTCCACTAGGCATTATTTCCTTTTGCACACTCTAATTCTGCTTATACTTCACACGGAAATGCATATCTCCATTGTCGTGACATTTACTGTGAGAATTTTTTTTACATAATAAGAAACGTTTTTAGGTGCACATCAATGTTCCACTCTCAAACGGACCGTGACTTTTACTCCCAAGTCTTACTGTTTTACTTTTAGACTGTCGTTTACCACACCATTGTTCCAATATTTGACGCGGTGCTCCCTAGGATTGCTTTAAATTTACCATAATTATCTTGTTCCCTTTTTTACCCCTTTCTTCGATTCGTAAGTCTACTGGAGGTCAATGCCGTAGTAGGCTTGCAGACACACCATTGGGGTTTGTCGATGTACCTGGAACGAAGTGTCACTTTTCCAGATGCTACGTGATTGGCTTATTAGCACAATAATTGCATTTTAAATTAATCGCATTCTTCATACCAATTACATTACTCACTTCAAAATTTTTTATGAAATTTTTATTCTAAATTATTTTCAGTCCATAAATGCAGACCATTTTGCAATAGTCTTTTACAGCCACTCCTATGCAGATGTGGTCTAACGTATTTCCGATTAGTCTTTTTCCAATAATCCTGACTTCATGTAATCATTTGTCTTTCTTTGTGGCTCACATTACACAATTAAATGACGTTTTTTAAGCTTCCTTAGTATATAGACCCAACTGTTACACATAAACGCCGAATCCCGGATTTTAGCAGCTTCGCAAAATGCGGAATGCCCTTGTCACGCACAATTTCTTCAAATCGGTATATCTAGGGGAAACACCCACTTTTAGAATTTTACTATTGATTTCAAAGAATATGAGGCATGTTTATTCCCTTGTTCTCTTACCTCTGCAAAGAATGGGGTAGACTATCATGTCAGTAGTCTCCGTCTCCCCCCCTCTCCTTTCTATTATGTATCGACCCAACTTAACAATAATCTGTGGCTCTTGAAATATGATATTTCAACTTCATCTCAGTCGGTTTTCGTCCAATACATTGTTAAACTATTTCAACGGAAAAATCCGATAACAGCGGTATACTTTGAAGCAAACATGATTGGTACCTCTGTGCTCCACTAATCAGTTGCTTTTACATTCAATCTTGCAAGCAGTTTTTGCATACACAAAGCGGTTAGCGTGGTTAGCTTGTTCATGTTATCAAGGGTGGTGACGCGCATATCCTGAGTTTTGACAACCACGTACTTTTTTAAACTGAAACCCATTGCGTTTCGGACTGTTGTCGCAATCGTGCCTATCTATTGGTTGGTTTTCCGCTACTGACGTGAGGGTGTCCCCCCCCCATGTGTTACGAAAATTGTTTGAATTAATTTAGCACGCTGTGGTCTAGTAGTCAGCGTTCACATTTTCTTTCATCCGGGAGTATCTACATTTGGGTGGTAAATAGTTAAACAACCGATGGCCGATTTATCTGTCTTCCATGACAATTTTACAACGCGTTTTTATCGTATCCTCATTCGCTGATCTTATCTAGCACTATATAGCGCAGATTTTGTACTGAATAACCAGTTCATGTTGTACATTCCTATTCTGAGATTACACATCGAGATTCAGGACTGAGCGGTCGAAAACTTCGTTTTCATAATGACAAGAACAGCCTTTAGTGGCAACCTTGTAATTCATTATCCTATACAGGAATACAGTAAGAGTTAAATTTATTATGTACATATATTTTAATATATCTTTCGGCTTACAAATTTCAGGCAACTTCTAGTTCTTGGTGTCCGTCACTTAGTTTGATTCGCTTATATGCAGCTGGAAATGAAATCGTCACCTGTCTCAAATACTGCCTCTTTCCTCCGTTAGGATGGGCAATATTTGGCTTCTCATTAAATTTCCCCAAAACTGACCAGATGCTCTTATCTCTATGGTGTCAAGCAAGTGGGGTATTATCCTCAAATTTTCAGGACACTCATTTTAATTGGCATATATATGAAAATCCCCTTTCAAGCACTTTTCACCAACCATATTCTTTTCGTTGTACTCTTTATTCTTTGATTTAATAAAATTGCTACCAATGCATTATTGGATGCTTTGACCTCACCAAACTGCTTCGTCTTTTGTGAGATTCTAGGGATGTATCGGTTTCGTGGACACTACTTCGAGTATTTTTTTACTTAAAACGAGGAGATTATATAACAAAATCTTTCACGAAATCGTGTATCTGCTACTTCCATAGATCGGCAAATCGACTAGTTGGAATTCCGTTAACCACCCAACAGACGTCTCTTCGTCAACCCATATCAGTATTTGAACCTCAGGGACACTCTGCCTTAAAGTGCTCTTACCTACCACCATCGGAACCTTCAACCACCGTACCAGTGTCCAGGGCTTTGACCAAATTCATTCCTCGTTCCGTAATTCAAGCCAGTCGATCACCCCTTAGTATTCGTCCACCTCTGAAAAGGAGGAAGTAGTATTTATGCATTTCTGCAATTTTGTATTTCGATTCCCACTTGTGTACGAAGCATAATAAATGATACCTATTTTATAAATTATTGCTTCGAATATGGAGCACTTCATCTGTAAATAGCACTCATGTGAAATCCACGTCTTCGACACTAGCCTTGATAATGAGCCGTGCGAAATATATCAGCCGTTGTTTATTAACAAATTTCGCGTATACGCTTCACCTATCCCTGGAATTGGCGTTACCTCTGATGCTCATTTTAATTGTTTTTTTATGGCGACGTCTTACCAAATAACGTGCTTGAAGGGAAGAGTTATTAAGTCCAAAGTGGGATTGGAAAAGTCTCGTGAAGGTAGGCTCTGCATCGGGTACGTGTGGCGTGCGCCTATGGGCATTCGGTTGTCACCTGCACCGCACTCGCGCACATACTCCGCCACAACTTTCCAATTGTCATCGAATTCTCGCATTGCCTGTGCACATTTGGTAGGAACACTTTTTCATTTTATACATTGGCCGGCCATAGCCTTTAACATTTACATGGAATATCTCCTCTCACAATCAGCCGCAGGAACCGTCGCAACTTTTCTTGGTAATTTGGAGTGCTAATTGTACCGCGGTGATGGGTGTGTATTACAGTGTTAGTATCGCAGCAAGTTGGGTCTGCACCCCGCCTTACTTTCCGTCAAGTCATTCCTATAAAGGCGAGACGATGGGTACTGTGATCCTCTGCGCTCTTTGTTTATTGATTGATAACAGTAATCATGCAAATCTCAAAAACGTTAACCCAAACCTCGGCTTTTTTACTAGGTGGCCCTACTTCAAAAGCTTTTGATTTGCCAATTATTCATAAACCTATTTGGAAATATTTCAAGAATTGGATCGAGAAAGCGCCCCCTCTTTTCGACGGACTGCCAAAATTGTTAATTAGGTTGTTCTTCGTCGTTGCTATGTTTATTGGTTAAATGGCTTAGACGCATTAGGTCTTGATTCGATTTTGAAATTTATGTTTTCGGGTCTCCACCTTTACTATTGAATACTGAAAATATCCACCCTACAATGTCAGAGAAAACGGGCCTTGAAAACTTTAAGAGTGGGCCACGCACAATGACGTTACTGTGTTTCTTTGATTTTGATCTCATTGTATAAACTTTTTTATAATAATTTTACTCGCAATTATTCTAGAACCCATTTGCTGTATCGCTTTTGTGTGTCAACAATTATTTCACCTTGTTTAGCAAATCAGACGATACTGCCTCTGACCCTACTTCTTGTTCCAGTAATGCTACATTGTAATCTTTAACTACGTTAAATTCTCTTAAAACCAAAATCTCTTCCTTCCTCATCAAGATACATCTTCTAAGGCGTTCAGTTAATTATAGCAGTCACAGATGTGCCTTGGTCTGAACTTCTCGATAATGATAACGGCAACCAAAGGTAAACATGCCAAGACGTAAATATAATGCGGTTAACCGACTAAATACCCTTTAAATCTAAGCTGGTTCGCATAATTTTAACGTAATCAACTTTGTGCCATGGAAAAATCAGGGGCCATGCCCTCTTGGAATATTAGTTGCACAGCTCTCCTGACGTCAGACCTTTTGTGCGTGTCTTTGCCACTTCATCGTAGTGAGTTATCTAAAACTGGAAACGTACAATTGCCTGCAGGTGTGATCGCTCTTCGTCGATCATCATACCATTACGTATTTACGGTTCACAAAGGGTAAGCAAGATTTTCATTAGTTTTATCCATTTCATCTATCAACTGCCATTTTCTGCCTTGCATATCTTGAAATTTACACATAGAAAACTCTTGCAGCCTCAAGTGTATCTCGTAAAATACCTTAGCAAATCAGAGTGTTTTTACAATATTCTCGGGGGCTTTACTTTTTAGTGTGTGCTAAATAGGCCAAATCAATGTATAATTTTACCATTTCTATCATAATTTGCCTTAAAATTTGATGTATTTTAGCACAAAGTAATCTAAATAAGTTTATTAACTTCCTGAGGTATCGACACCAAGACATGAAGCGCTTAAAGCATTGGGAAATTGACTGCATCCCCAAGTCATATTTGTCTGTTTGTATGATCTGCTTGGTACAGCATTTGATATTTCTCAAGATTATAGGAGCTAAAAAGACTACTTACTTAATCAGTCCCCCGTGAATCAACCGTGGGGTCATGGACGCTATTGATGGGCTACGTTCCAAATTCCTTTTTGTTGCAAAATTAACGTATATTGTGTGACAAATGAAACTTTAATCTCAACAACACCATACCGACCTGCAATTTGCAAGCACTCCGGCAAAAGTGCAAGGAACACCGCAAAAAGGGGCATTCCCCTCTTGGTGTGTTTCGATGCAATTTATGAAAGCTACTTACACAAGTCCAGTAAAATCCTTTTCCAAGTTGGGGTCTGTTTCCCCGAGCAGGAACTTTCTCAGGCGGGGCGAGACGTTGTGTTGGTATATTGAAGATGAAAAAGTTGGCACGACAGTTGTTTGCAGTGCTTATTTGAATTTATTGCCAAATCGCGTGTAAGGCACAGCAGAATTTGATTTGGTGTTGTCTGACGTTATTTTCGATGTAAAATACGAATTTGAGGGCATTAAAATGACATCAAAAACAACGTGGTTTGCTGTATTTCATCTGTACATATATCTGGCTGTTAGTTCTACGTGAAGGAGAAGATCAAGACCCACCTCCTCAACAATCAGAGCTGGACGCAGTAAATCTCCTCAGTAAGTGCTCTCTGCTCGGTGAAGCACTTTTGTGCATTAATTGGTTATAAAATGAAAACTTTTCTTCCTAGAAGGCGTATAGATTTCCATCAATGTTCTGGCACACGCCATGCCAATTAACAAATTCGTGTGTTAATTTGTACAAATGAAATATTAGACACATCCTCCAGACCAATGGAGCTATGCGATTATGTGTTTGGTCGGATTAGGTATGAAATGATTTTCCAAATTTTCAGGTTTCTATAAAGTAATCACATAAAGTGGTATTTTGTCTGCATCTTAATCACAAATAACTTTTTGAGTGCCCCCACTGAAAACGCACGCCTAAAGGCGAACGTGGAGGTAACACGAGAAAACCCCTAGATTTTTCTCGACCTTGGCACACTGACGCCAGGTCATGCGTAGATGGCAGGGAAAAGTCTCGACTAGTCTCCTTTAATCCCTTGTCTTACCCTCTCGGGTGCAAGTCTGAGGGCATTTGCGTCGTGTGTTTCCTTTCGTTTTAAGAAACGGTGCACTGAACTGACTAAACAGATAATCATCCGAAATACTCTTTAATTCTTTGCGATCAGAAAAACGTATTTTTGTGGGAAATTGAGAATCGGATCACCCAAGATTAATAAAACGTAATTATATTTTAGTAAAAGAGGTAAACTGATGCTTTCATGGTGCAGCGGAATTTACGGATAAAGGGTATGATCAACTTGAACATTGCATTTCACAATCTATAGTACTTTTGTTTGAAGATTTGATGTTTTTTCGTTGTTATTTGACATTAAGATAGTTGCAAGGAAAGCTTTTACAGCTCCTAATACGGCCACGCGTTTTTATTAAATCGAGGTGCTTTAAAATGTCCTGGTCTCAAATTTCAACTCTAGATGAATGCAATTGCACTGAAATCCAATTAAGTAATTTTGACACCGATTTTTTATTTTCTCACTCCTGAAATGTTTGTGAACTTAAATAATCACGACGCACCGATATGTATGAATACGACTCTTATGCTATTTTAGCATGTCTAAGAAGATCAATCCTCTTGATTGTTTGTCCACTGTATCCTCGTCACATGCTTCGCTAAATGAATTTCACAAACACTAGAACACAATTTTTGCTGTCTTATTTGTCGACAAACAATTCCCTTTTTACAGGCCAAAGGTGTAATTTTGGATGGATATTGAGGTGATGAATGGTGTACGACCGTGAAGATAGCCAGTGCACAACAATTGAATGCACAGGGCCATAGGAGAGAAGGAATTAGTTGATGTTCTTACACCTAAGTAGCTATGACAACGAAGAAGGTCAGGCCTTAGTGTTATAGACCCATTGTACTTCGCATCAAATTTTTTAGATCCTAACCACTACGCACCAGCCCCCATTTGTAGGCCCCACTTGATGAAAAAACCACTGCTTGTCTTGCACACATAAGACACGAAATGCTGCTTTACTTCTAATCTTAATTTAATGATTAACCTTTGTGGAAACTTCAGAAACTTAATAAGCACACGTTTCTTAGAATGGTAAGTGATTATCCGCTTCTCTAAATATAACTTATCTGCTGCGATTTCCTGGTTTCATATTAATATTCGAAACCGTACACAACCTAGTGGAACATTCATTTTTCCGAAAAAGGCTGGTATCCACAAGGGAAAACTTTCACAATGATGTATCTTTTCTGTTTATTCAGGAACACACAAACACCTACGCAATCACACAGGCATCTGAACGTGTGTGCCACAGGGTAACCCTTACCTTCCTGTTTCACTCGCTGTACTAGTGACATTTTCTCCTACAGTAGGAGACCGTATTTACAGAAGTAAGTTTATGATGCTGCCTCAGAAATTAGTGAACGTTTACTAACAGGAAGTGGGAGGCCGCTACCATCATCATAATTACTTGTTAATGACTGCCTTGCACTTTGATTAAGCAAGTGCCAAATACAGGATTCGTCGAATAAATTCTCTTCTAAACACAGATAGGAAGTGGTGCTTGTTTGAGTCTTCTCTTATAATCGGAGCTTTAGTGCGTTAAGACGGACTATTTTAAAGGAGGTATAAGTATATTTGCTCTCTCTGCTAACAGCTTAAATGCGATACTTGATTATCATGAAGAAAGTCAGGTGTTTCTTTCGTTTGTATGGTCTAAAGTACGTTTTTCATAGCCTAAACTCCAGGAATCAAGGCAAACTTCAGATTTTGGAGTGATGATACAGGCAATCCGCTTACCTTCGCCTAAATATATCAGTAATTTTATTTTCTTTTGAGTTTGTAAAAGTCCAACTTTATAAATGAAGCATTGTACTTCTAGGAGGATTGAGTACTTTAATTTTGCATCTGCATCTTGAAGTCTACATCTACTAATTATGCAAGCTAATGAGGACATTTTCTGTGAACTAAACCGATGCACTTGAAAATGATGCGTCACAAAATGTTTGGAATCGATTCGCATTCCCTTTCACAAGTATGTATTTGAAGGATTCTATGGGGTTTGTTTACTACTCGTAAATTTCCTCTTGCGAGTTAGCGGGTTGGCAGTTCTTGCGTAACGTGTTGTTGATCAGTGAAAATGACCACAGTATTCTTGACCATCCACTTCAGAATGGCTTAATTTCAACCCCGAATTGATTCAGCTTAACATCTATGCCCACAATTCATGTGTCTCTACCTTATAGGCCAGTCATATTCCCCGTTGTGTTCTAGCCAATGGCAGATGCGCATGGATCGACAAATGGGAGTGGAGGTACACGCGCACACAGGCACATGGCAGAACGCGTACAGCTCCGCGCTTTATAGAAAGCGCCCAAATAAGCTCCCAGGACATTCGTACAGCGTATTTACTCCTCTTCGTACGCACATACGCATGCACTAACAGCTCCAATGTATCACCATGTTCTCTTGATCTACAATAAAAACTTTCCTTGAATGTGAGGATAAGTGAAGTGCCCATCAGCTTTTTGTCACATGATGCTGACTTTAACTCTGCGGATAATTCTTCTTTTCCCACTTATATGTACCCAGAGGATTCATAAAGATGGCCAGGGAATTTTCGTTTATGATAAAATAGAGCTCCGGATATATGAGAACGCCACCGTTGGGAGTGTTGTGCTTCCTGATCTTCGTGAGTATTTACAAATCTCTCCTGATCGTCAGGTTCGGCTAGGGCCAGGTGCATTTAGCTTCTTCTTTTCTCTCACCGAAAACCACTCATTGCTTGTGCAGAGCAGTCTGGACTTGGAGTCTGGGAAATTGTGCCGAGCCGAGGAGTCCTGTTGTCGCTCTGAGGATGTGGCCAAGGAAGACAACTACCTACCCTACAGCCACTTTGCCCCATCTTGCAAACTAAGAGCTGTCGTACTGGCAAACAACGGAGAATCGACACCTCTTAAACCAATTGGGTGGATAGTGGCAGCTATCCAGGACCTGAATGATCACGCGCCCGAGTTCGTACTCCCAAAAAGTGAAGCTAATTCTGTAGTTCAGCGCATTCATATATCATTTATTGAAGGTTTTAAAGGTGTTGGTGAAAAGTTTCAGTTGCCAACGGCCAAGGATAAAGATTTCCTTCCAGAAAACTCAATGGTAACTTACTCAATAGCCATGAAGAAATCCGACTTGGTTGATTTTTTGGACTCCGCACGAAACGAGATACCAGCGTCCAGTGGTTCCCCAGCATGGGTGGGGGTGGGTCCCTTTCGACTTATGTACAAGCCCAAAGAGGACTGCCTGACCCTTGAGGTGGCCAAAGAGCTCGATCGAGAATCCCAATCTGAGTACGAACTGGCCCTCGAAGCAGAAGACGGTGAAGGACAGAAAGCCATCTTAATTATCCAAGTTCATGTCCTTGATGTTAATGAGTACGAACCAAGGTTTGTTGATGTAAGGCCAATTGGTTCAACCAAGATCTCCAAGACATTGGATTACAATAGACGTGTAGTCAAAATTTACGAAAATGCTACAGTTCACTTGCCCTTTATTCAGGTCATTGCTGAAGACAAGGATGCTCCACCAGCCAATCAAATTGCATATAAATTCTCACCCAGCTTTCAACTGAGTGAGGCTGCTTCGGTGTTTTCGATTGACTCGAATACTGGGAAAATTAGTCTGGAAAGGCCTCTTGACTTTGAGGAAACCAAACGTTACGTGGTAACTGTTCAGGCAACAGATGCAAACTGCCCTATATCTAATTCCGGAGATAAGAAGGTACTACCTCAGTCATTGCAAAAGGTCACCGAAGCTATCACCAGCAGTATTACAAAGGAACCCAAGACTGCAACAATGACACTTGAGATAGTAGTTAATGATTGCAATGACCATGCACCGGAAATAAAACTGCAAGGCGCTGTCAGTAATGCTGCAGATTCTGTGAGGGCGGGTGTGGATGAATTGACTGTAATGGAGAATGCACCACCAGGAACCTCTCTGGTCTTCTTCAGTGCTACTGATCGCGATCAGGGAGATGCTGGTGTCCCTCAATGTCATTTGCTCAATTGGACCGAAAAGTTTCGGATCTACAATTTCCCCGACTTTTTTAGTTTGGAAACAACAAAGGAACTAGATCGTGAAATTCAACCCCAATATCTCTTAACAATTGAGTGCTACGATAATGGCAATCCCCGTCAATACAGTCAGAAACAACTTAGAGTCTCGCTTTTGGACGTAAATGATGAGGCACCATCTTTTCAACATCCATTCTATTCTTTTCATTTATTGGAAAACAGTCCTCCTAGGACAAAGCTTATTCCCGTCAGTGATGGCCACACTAATCCAGTTGTTGCATTTGACAAAGATATAAATTCAACACTCACCTACCACCTAGAACCAATTACAACCGTTGATTCGGATCAAAGAAACATGTTCGATTATCAGTTATTTGATGTAGACGCTGATTCAGGAACACTCATTACAAAGGGCAAATTGGATAGAGAACAAAAGGCCAATCACAAGTTTAATCTCTGTGCTGATGACGGGATATATAAGGCGTGCACAAGCATAGTCGTCCATCTTGACGATGTGAATGATAATCCCCCCTTATTCGAGAGAGAAACATACATAATCCGGATTGTTGAAAACACACAGTTCTACGAACCGCTTATTACTTTTCATGTAACGGACGTAGATACTGGGAATCAAGGCTTCTCTATGGCAATTGAGGCACCACAACTTACAAGCAACGCATCAGATATAGAGAATATTACAGATACTTTATACCACTTCTCTATTCGTGATAATAAGCTGTTTTTACGACAACCTGTCGATAGAGAAGCAAAATCTCACTACCACTTCTTTGTTCGAGTTACAGATTTGCAAAATTCGGGCTCAGACCGTGATCAAGAAGGTCTTTCGAGCACAGCAGAGGTTTTTATTGAAGTTTGTGACACTAATGACAATGCTCCAATTTTTGTATTCCCGAATGCCAGTGCTGCCAATGAAGGTGGGAATCAGCTGAATGTCTCCTGTCGTGAAACTATGGGCAGTTCCGTCGGTCGCATTGTAGCTATTGATTTAGATCTTGAACAAAATGGCACTGTTGTATACTCTGTTATCCAAGGTCCAGTCTCAAATGAACTCTTTTATCTTGATAAACAGTCCGGTGAGCTCTTTGTCAATTCAGGAAGGCTCAGTGAGAACTGCGACTCAGTTTTCCTTCTGGTCATTTCTGCTGATGATATGGGACCGCCAAGTAGTAAAATGGGTCGCCCCATTCCAGTTGAGCGGTTACTTGTAAGACTTCAAGACCAGCCCACCCTTGCTGAATACATGTCTCTGAACTCCCAACAACCAACCAATACGAGAGGGCGCAATGATTCCAGGGGTGACAAAAAGTACTTTGGCTTACCCGCTAAAACAGTGCTGAGTGTCGTGCTCGGAGGATGTATTGTCTTCCTTACTGGACTCTTTTTAGCATGGCTGATTCTGACTCTTATCAGTAGGTCTAAACGCAGACGACGAGAAAGAAGAGAGGAAACCCCATGTCAGGCGGTGGCCTCACAGTGCTGTGAGGCAAGCACATTCCTATCAGGCGGTAAACACGAAATATTTGTCCACCCGGCAGGCATTTTTCCCCATGGATTGGGTCTCAATGGAAACAGACAATTTTTACAGTGCACTCTGGGCGAGAAAGATGAAGGCGTGGGACTCAGAGGTGCGTTTTTTCATTAAACTACCTCCCTTTACCTATCTCTTCCATTATTCTTGAAAATGAGATTGAAGAAACCAACATCGCACACGCATTGTTTTAAACGAAGCAAGGGGAAAATCCTTAATTTTGGCAGTCTACAAGGCTTACGTATAAATCCTTCATGCCTTCGAGATTTCTCTTGTATTAGCCAAAAATACTATGCTCGAATCATAGTGAATTTGCAAAATGCACAATTTAGTGTACGCAGACCATTTTTGTACATGCAACTTCAACCTGGCCATTGGACACAATTTGAACTGCAAATGGACCAGCACAAGGGGTATTTTTGTCATATCAAACTAGCTACATACATATCTCCTTAGTATCTTCCCATTCTTCTGGTTATCCATTACATATGCCGATTTGAACTGCAATGTAGGAAACTTAATGCTGCCAACCTTCATTAATACATTATTTCATCACAGACTAAGATACATTTCCAATTTTCTATCAACAGATTAGTTCTTCCTTAAGGTTGATGGGTTTCGCGGGTGGTACTCAACAAGGTCTTCCATTATAGCCTTTCGAATTCCACTTTCACTACCTAAATGCAGTTTTTATTTTAAGAAGAATGCCCTTTTTTAAAATGCCCGAAATTCAACGAATAAAGGTTATAAGTAATGCGAATATGGAAGCGAAACAGTTCTGTCGACTGCAAACGTTAACACAAACCCCTCCCTCCCCCTATTTGCCTTCTGTGATACCTGAGCATGTGTTTTATAAATATTTGACAACTAAATTTCATTGATATTTAATCGCGTTCTAGTACCACTTTTACAGGATATAGACTGAACTACTTGACTAAATCCAAAATACATTACATAACTATTGTGAAAAAAATATCTTTGTAGTTAGTGGTCGACATTGTCTTGCATTTACAAATGCCAACCGGGCAGTATGTCTACATGGTTTAACGATTAACTCACTTTTCCAAACAGCTTATATTATATTTTTAAGACTAGCTCGTGTATTAAGTGCTGGTGTCGAACTCGGAGGTTAATCATTTTAAAATTTGTTTGGTTTTAAACTGACTAGCCAAAAAAATTTTGCTGGATTGTAACAATACTTGTCTCGTGTAAATACGAATTTCTCTCATAACTTCCTACACGCGACGAATGAGCCAAGCGTATTTGATGATGAGGAAAAGGCGATGATCTACTCAATTTCGGGCTCGTCGTTCCCTTGGTTTCTTCTAGGAGAGCTTTGTAGAAGTATATTTCTTTTCATTGTTCATCTCTAGTGACGCAATCCTTTATAGAGTTCAGGTATGTGGCAATTCCACCCACAGCTAATCGAGTCACTGGTGTCATTTTTAAAATGTTAGCATGGTTTAGGGTATAGTGCTATAAATTTTCTGTAGATGGTGTAGATGCAATTTCTGTTTCATTGGTTGCATTTTCGACTACATGCCTAGTGCGCGATTATAAATTGTCGACAGCCTAAGATGCAGCATAGTAAATCATAAATCAGGTGAAAGTGAGTTTAGTATATATAAGCCTTCTCATTTGGTAGTTTATTTAAATAGAATATCATTTCTAACTTCTTTAATTCATTTGTAAGTAAATATAAATGGAACTGACAAATAGTAGGGGAACAATATCAACTATTTCCTCCAAGATCTGGGTCGTGTCCACAATAAAAAATTTGAGCATAAAATCAAACCCCAATGGAATTTTTAAACAAAACTCGAAATGCCCTTATTGAAACCCACTTTTTCTAAATTCCACTGACCTCGCATGTGACCTAATTCGCGTTTGTTTTGATATTCATACGTAACTAGTAAAACTACCACTTTTCTTAAGCTTACTTGTGGAGTCGTGCGCGGTCGATGCGACCCCTACCTTCAAAGTTGTGTCCCCCAGCCTTCAACACCACTGCCAAAGTAAAAACCGTGTGTGGAACCATTCCCCTCTCTCGCTTTCCATTTTGGGCCATGGTCACCCATATTTCATTGCTCTCTTGATGGTTACTGCATGCCTTAGGTCAATTGCCATTACTGAAGGCGGGTCCTTAAACAAATAAACACCATATGAATAAAACCCATTGTGTGATGAGCTTATGGTCATCCTCAATGTCTGGCTTCAAATCCCAAATAGTTTTTGAATCCGGTGGTGCGGCAATCGGGTTGTTAATGAGAAGAAGAGTTTCTTCAGCTAAGACCGAAGCATAATTAACTGCCTTGAAGCAGCGACAGGAGCGCATATGTAGAAAAAGTCACTTGGGCAGGTTTGTGAAAGAATATTTTTTGCTTTTTATCAAAAAATGGGACAGGTTTTTAGTGAGTACTGATAACATACGTTTTTGCCAAAAATGACTAAATTTACAATCAGACGAATTTCAGTATCGGTTGTCAATTAATCGCTTACACATTAAAGTACATTGAAGGAATTTTTCAGTCCTCAAACAAAATATCTAGTTCAAAAAAGCATTAGGTTTCCTACACCAGATCACATTATAACTTGATACCTTTTTTCTTTATTTACTAGCAGTAGGTTATTTATTCCTGTAAACCAAACAAGTACTTTACAAACTCACTAAATGTGAATTAAAGAAAATGTTAACCAAGACTTTCACCCCTGTGTTTGTAAAATTATGCTTGCTAAATCCATTTACGATGTTCATTCTTAGTACACCATCCCGCTGCATAGTAAAGGCATCAATACGCCTGAATCAGACAAATCATTAATCAAGAGATCACACATATTCATTTGATGCAGAATTGGACGCAGATGGGTCGGTGTCTTCTGGAGCCAGTCCTTACGGTCAAGGCCTCAATGTTAACACAAATCAGTCTTTGAATACTGGTGGATTTATTTCCCACACCTCAACTACCACTATGGGTAGTCATATAAGTCGGTCATCGCCCATGAATTACAAGACAGCAGTGACACGAAGTGCGGTTGAGGTACATTTGCCTTAAGTTTCTGTGTTGTTCTGCAATTTTATGCTAAGCTACTTAATTTAGAAAGTGTCAAAGCTGCTACCAAGTGATTGGTTTAATAGACCTCAAGAAAGCATTATCGGATTTAAGGCAGCAAATGCCCAGTTTTATATCCTTCACAAAATTTAAACTCTGGGCAATTCAAAATTGTGCTAATTCAAAATACTATTGCTGAATAAATTTCATGGCGTGAAAGCACGTTGATAAATATGTTGCTGTTGAATACTGAGTGAAAAAAATCACATAAAGATAAGAAGTAGCTAAGAGGTGGAATTCTTGTAAATGGCGTGCTCCACATACTCAAATATGTAAACTGGGGACTGGAGCATATCAGCTAAACCATCAAATTTGATTTCTGTTATTTTCCAGGTAAATGCAACGCTTTATTAGATTTGTTCACTAATTCCTACCTTAAGAGTTAACATTAACCCAAAGTGATCATTATGTCAATATGAAATCCACAATACGCTATTACCCATGTCATGTCCAACCCACGGTAACCCTATTGCATTAAGACCTAAAAGTAGTAATTGTGAATCCGCCTTTATAACGTGGATCCTAGTTTCTTTTACAATTGCAAATGTGCTTTTATAGCAGGCAGGGTGGAATAAGGTGACGATAGTCAATACCCCGGGAACAAATGCGACAGCGAAATTATCTGAGGAGAAAAGCAACTTCGTAGTAGTGCCTGGTGATGCTGTTCACGTCCCGGCTTCAGGTGGGTTGATTATTTTTCCCTTTTAAGTCTCATGTAAGGGGAGTGACTTTACCATGGCCAAAATGAATAAAATAGTCTTATAAATGCCACCAATTAAATTCGACCAAAAATCAATATCGGTAAATACCCAAAGTTGTCACTCGTCAATCTCACGAGCCATTCTAAATTTACGTTATCATGTACCTAGTGAGCTTCTGTCATCCCACCGAATTTCTTCGTAAATCGCCCAACATATTCGTTATACTATGTAAATCTGCCGTTTGGACTTTGTCCGCTTTTTCAACATTCGTAATACCAATACAAATCTTTTGCATTTCACTCCAATTCTTAAAGCTTGATCACCTGAATAAATGTTTGTGTTTTGATTTTTGCAAATACATGCTAAAAGCACTGGGTACCAGACTTGAGCATGACCAATATCAGTTTTATTTTGCACATTTATCCACACCAAAATTGCTTGGAGATTGCTTTTCTCAGCTTTGATTGCCCCTGAAATTATGCCGTGACCCCTAGCCATCAGAGGAAAATCGTGAAAATTGAATGACTGAAAATAAAATTCCGCAAAACATCGGAAGGTTTGATGGGAATTCACACAGCTGCACACACGCGAGAAAATTTATTTTAAGTTGATTGAGTGGAATCGTTTCAAGCTTAGCGCTTCCCACTCTTTCAGCGCATTATGCGGTCTTTGAAATGGCTTTCGGGTCTCGCGCCATACATTAAAACTTCTTGGTAAATCGGTTATCCGCCATCTTTTCGATTTGCTTTTTGAAACAAAATGTCTATTTTTATAAGGCATTTTACTTCCCCCAAATTTTGCATGAATGGAAATTTCCTGTTTTTTTTCCTTGGCACATCTACGATCACTGAGTGCAATTTATCTCCATCAGTGCTCGCTGGTTGCACGCTAAACTGCTACTAAATAATGCATACAATGTAGATATTAAAAGGGGTCGTTAGAAGCAAAGTATTCATTTTTATGAAATTCTGAGCCATCTGAGGCATTTAATATCCGTTGCCGCCCTTATTTTGCGTAAAAACATAATGTGCTTTTTCTGTGCTTGGTCAATGAACATTGCTTGTCACCCGGCTCAGCTTGTGTATTTTTCCCAAAACCCGCTTATCTCCAAAGCCCTCTTTTTGAGGAAGATAGAAATCGAAAGTAGCTTGGTAAAATATAAACGTCCATAAATGGAAATTTGATTGAGCTGTTACTTATTATTTTACAACACATAAACATTTATACTTTAAAAACACGTCCATAAAAAATAGTATTAGCCCCATTGGCATCGCAGGCTTATTGTTCCGATATAAATCCATGGTCTCATGAATGTAATATACCACAAAATGTAGTGTAACGCACAAATAAAAAAAGAGTTTATTATTTCAGCTTGTAGTGGTGGCTCCACACGTTATCTCCTGTTTCCGGCACTTTCGACGCCCTCAACAGCGATGATCAGCGTGGCAAGCACGTCACACACCGACACCGCGGCTCACTCTCTCCTAAGACCCAATCTAAACATGAGTGCCGATTCATCATTCGATCCTCGACGTAGGTCCCAATGCGTCTGTGAGGAGGATAAAGAAAAGCCCTACCAAAATAGTGCAGTTAACATTTCTTTTCATCCATTTCTTACCCCTCCACTCAAACGCAAGTCTTTGAAGCCAAGAGAAACCGATGAAGTTTTGGAAAATGTACACTTCATGTTTGCCGATAATCAGTACACACCTCTTGCCGAAGCATCTACATCTTCCCAGGTGCCATGTGAAAATCAGTATCTAATTATCACGAGCAGAGGAACTGAAATAGCTCCAGTGTATAATACAATTGGTAGGACAGTGCCTCGTGGTTCCTCCCTCCCAAGTAGCCTACCTGGATGTTCGTGGTCGCTAGAGAGGGTGAGTAGTGGGAAGCAGGCGGTGCTCAACCACATCGATGAAATCAGCGGTGTGTTATTGGCTCCCAGTGTGTCTTCGCCCTCTCACTCACCAAATTCAGCGCTGAACAACAGCGTGCGGTTCGCCTTGCATCCCAAATCCATACACCGATTCGAGGATGTCAATCCTCCCGTTGCTCCAGCAACAGCCCACCTCCGAGCAGACTATATATCGCTTGAAGACCTTTTTAGTTCCTGTGTGTAATGTGTTTGATGAAATCACCAAGTTTATATTTGCAGATGGAAAATCTGTCTTCCATTGTATAATTGAACCGTTAAAATTTGGTATCGTATTCAACTTATTTTTTGTTTCTCATTTTCTCGACAGTTTTTGCTAACTGACTTTACATGAATCAGTTCGGTAAATCAAAATTTTGTCTCATTTGACATCATTTCTCGAGGGCTTGTCTGGTGCTTATCGAAACGGACCAAATTTAGCCTACCCTATCCACAGTACTGCATTAGTAAAGGACTTGCTAGTGGAAACTGATACATACGGCCTCGAATTCGACAAAAATCTAGTTATTTAATCGCTGGGAATGAATGACGGCCTCTATGAAGAACAAATTACAGCATCATTTTAGCGTTGCACACAATTGTTTTGCATGTAGCTTATGAGCTGAGCCGTCGCGATTGGTTTTGAGTTTGGTGCTTGTGACGATGGGAGGTAACATATTACGTTCTACTAAGGAGACTAGCGGTGTGCATACGATTAATGACATCATTCCAGTCGCCTTCCCTTGTATCGTAAAATAGCTGACTCCATGTTTATTTTATTCTTATTATTACCATTACCAGCGTTATATCACCTGATTTGACACTTCGGGTTTCGCATCACTTAGTCAAGTATAAGCCAGTTAAAGGGCTTGGTCACAAAATAAGCTTACCTATGCTCAAACAGGCATAATTTCATTTTTAAAAGTGATAAATACTTTAATACATGTAACACAAAAATATACACTATAATTCATTTAAAGCACGTCACTTACCCGGATTGGCACTCATTGACTAGAGTTTGGGCCCATAGTTTGCTGTTACCGAGATGACGGTTCTACAAATTTATGCAACACCCGTGACTAACCATAAGTGTACACAGTCCTAAAACTTGCTACAGTTCCACAAATACACCTCTGCTTTTGAAATGATAAAAAATGATTGGCAAAAATTTTCCAAAACCTAAGGTTTAACTTATTTACTTAAGGTGTTTCAGAGCTTGCATTTGCAACGCATTTTATATGGGAAAAACTCCCTGAAATATCACCTCCCTCAAAAGCAACTCGTTAGAGGACCATTAATCTCACAAGAGACCAAATGTCAACATTCGGAAAGTGGTTTAAACCTGCAGTGAGTGGGGTCCACAGAATAATTTCATCTTTTCAATTAAAACTAAATTGAGGCTCAAATACTCACCCTAATATTGTCAGATCCTCGCGAAACTTTGAACTTTTCAAATAGAATTCCCCGATGCAGTAAGCCTCCATACACTGGTAAAAGATTTTTCCCACAGGACTTCAGGAGGAGCAGTTTAATTGTCTTCTTGATTCTCTGACAGAAATTCACTAATAAATTGTGCTTATTTTCCCTTCACTGAAGTGGTCTAAACAGTGCTAGCACGACTGCATTTCAAATTAATTGGTTTTTGAGTTTTTTAATAAGCTGTTCTTCATTTTGTGTCATTTAGTGACACTTTAAACAGCTACTTTGGGATTAAGCGCCAACCTATGGTGTTTTCTCGTTAGCAGGAAGCATAGCTAGCCTAGCAATATTATTCCGTGCTAGTTTGGCCAATATATCATATGAAGGCTTTCTTCCTCTTCTTCCTACTTCGCCAGATGGCAAATGTGTGCGACAGAAGGTTGAGTTTTATCGGCACATGGTTGTCAAACCTGTGCTCTACAATCCATAGGCACGACTCATTAGAATATTTTGAGGACCAACAGCCGACTTCATGGCTCGATCTTCACCACCTACCGCCAAAAAGATCAATCATTTTGCAGAAATGATTGATATTTCAATGCCACACATCTTCTTTTCCTGGGGTGACCATTTTAGGTAATGATTTTCCATTTCATGGCTCGACATCCTCCCAATTTAATGAGCATAAATTTCTGGATCTGTTCTATAAACTTGGGGTAATTCTTTATGCAAATTCCCTTTTATTTCGAACATTTACTATCAAAGACTAAAAAGCACTCATTTTTAATCCAAAAAATTAACCACATAAATTCTTCTTCACAGGGTACTTCTTTTGTATGCAAAATAGACGGAGGCAGTATTTGCATGGCACTGGGCTAGGAAGTTTACGGTTAAACATTGTGCCAAATTCCATCGGGCGTTTTCTGGTGAATTCAATCTGCCCTGGATGGGAGTTGAAACCCGGAATCGTCACATCCTAAAGAACGGTATTTTGAATAATAAAACAAACATTCTATACCACTTTGTGCCTTAGTGTCAGGTCAACCCCTTTCGTGTCTGCAGTGCATCAAAGCTCTAGTATAAGTGCGTTCAATTTGGGTACTGCCTCAAACCTACCTTTACCATGTAACAGGGTCGCTATTGCTGTAATAGGTGCACAACAATTATAATTTCTACCAAAGAGCAACTTAAATTTTAATGTACTGCGAGAAATGACCAAAGATATACATTTAATTCAAGATTAAAACTTTTTTTAGGGAAAATTGGCATTGCCAAGAGTGATGTGGATTATTTGAGTGCTTCATTATGCCAACACTATACTACAGAATACCACCCAGTCTTGAGAATAAAATAAACAATATTACTTGTCAATATTGGCTGGAAAAGCTGGTTTTTACGCTACTTAGACAAATGTCTTATGTTGGATTTCAGAAATATTTGGATTCTCAAATTCTTCATCTTAGCAACGACTGACTCTATATCTGCCTGTTGGCTGATTTCACACCCTTGCTCACAAAAGCAAGTAGGAATGGAAGATTACCGTAGCAACTAGCTGTGGTGCAAAATTTTTTTCACCTATCAAGATTGACTTGTCAGGGTATTCATAATGAACTCCAGTTTGCTCCATTGGGATTCAACCAATTTCCATCATCTAATGATACTTTTTCAAATAGCGGTTAATAGGCTTTACTACCCTGGGTTTCTGTTTAAGATTAGACTACAACATCAGAAATATTCATCGATTAGTTTTATTTTCACCACCTCAAAATGTCAGCTAGCTGTAATGCGTATTTTTTCGTCAGAATAACTTCATTGAAACGTTTTAACTGCAGTACAAACCTATGAGTAGATATTTTCCGCTAGATAACCGATAAAGGCAATTAATATTTCTACAAATCGTTCGACTAGGTGTATAGTATTGCTCAAACGTCTGATGTGTCGGAAATTAGGGAAGATCAGTTCATGCTTAATTACTTATTTTGCAAAGCCACTTCACAAGCGATTGGCTCTGAGTCTCCTGCTACATAAGGCTTCCTAATAAGCTTTAAATGCGCCATAACCACGAGTTACTTCTGGGGGCTCGTGTGCGTGATATATTATGGAAAAAGCGAAAACGGAGACACGATCATCACATGAAGCGCTCGATGTAAGGACACCGCGCGGGTGTACAATGAGGGCTGGTGTGGTGATACGCATGGCCTGAAGTTGGTTTGATTAATGGGGTCAAGCTGATGCGGATATACAAAAATATTTTCATGGTTATTTAAAGTTTTTCTTCGTAAATGTTAATATTTCGCTGAAATTAACTACGATGCAGGATTCAACAAATTGTGTGTGTTGAATACGAGTCTCGCTTTTAAGCAGCCTCAAATGAAAATATAGGCCACAATCATGACAACGTGATTTGATCTTTGAAACTTGCATAATCAAACGCATTTAAATATCACTTTGACAACTAATGGAACCATGATCTATGACGCCTGAAGTGTAGTGTTTCAGTACTATAAAGTCAAGAATCCGTGAACATGCCTTTTTATGAAATGAGCATACAGGTACACGTTGAACGTAAATTGTCCGTCGATTTTGTGAAAAGGAAATAACGGCTAGGGGCGAGCAATTGATGAAATAGACCTGCTAAACTTCGTCGTGTGCTATTAATTTCGCAGCTTAGCCAATTATGATCGGGTAGTGTAGCACATTTGGTTTTGGATGTTTGCTGCCTTTATCAGCCACTAAATTGGTTTATGCTTCTTTATAGCAGACAGGCAGACAGAATATTTACGTGCTGACACAAGAACCGTCGCCTCTGAACACTACCTGCACCCCAACAAGAATTTGAAACCTACTGCCAATCTTCAGTGGACAGACAACTTTATCATACGGAACCTAATCGTAAATTAAAGCATTAATCACTTGAGTTTGTTTAGCAAAACGTTGCCAACTGGTTTAAACGCTTTTCTTTCAATTAACACAAAAGCACTCATCAGTAAATTGAATTTTTTTATCTGCTCAAATAATGAATAAGTAACTAGCAGGAAAATGTGTAAAGCACTACTCCACTCATAAAGTGGACGGGCGAACAAGATGATGTTTCAGAAGTAAGTGAAATAGTAACCTCAAAGCATCACTCAACGAATGGAAGGATAATTGCCCTTCGGACATAGACAGACATAGCAAATATTTGCAACGGTCTTCCATACAAGTGCGAAAAATGCTGAACTGACATGATCTTGAAAGCGATCATTTGTCCTTACGCTTCACTGAATGACTTGTTATCTCTACAACAGACAAAATCTGGCACGTACTAACTTATGCTTCTACCTGGCATGGCTTGACGCCGATCGCGAAAAACCCACAAAAAGATTTTCGCACTAATGCATGCATGCTAAGCCACTGTAAATGAACATAATAGATGCATTCATACCGAGGTAAGTAGTCAAAAGGTCTCAAGGGAAGCGAGCATAACACCATAGTTAAGGAATCCACTATTCAACACCTCTGATGACCATAGTGTGCACAACTGGATCTTACCAGAGGTACCTGATTCCCTCAGAATTCGCACGGAAAAAAAAGTGAAGCCAAGTTTGTGAACAATAATAAAACCACACCGATAATGTTATGGGTCTCAAATCTCCCAACTCAAAACTTCCTCTTTTACGAAAGAGTACTGACAAACCGGAACAAGTTCAAACGCAAGCCATCACACCAAGTGACCCCGTTCCATTTTCTACGTATTTTACCGGTTGCCACTAATCAGCATATTGGCCAGTCAAACAAATTGTAGCTGAAGTCGCCCTACATTTAGAGTAACATGCACGCGAGACAAAAACACCCCCCAAACACATCCAGAAAGTGGGTTAGCACAACCCCTAATGCAAGCACACAATTTTAAAGTTTGCACCTTAGTATCAATACCAGTAATGAAAGACACGTTCACATACCGTCACCAGCTTCTTTAAGCAGACTGCAATACCGATCACTTACTCTGGTCAGTCGCATTCAGATACCGAAAGATATCCAACAGGAACTGAGGCACGAGGTTCCCCCCGCCTAATGTAGAACAACTTTATGTTAATTCGTGGATGAAGCTGGTGCCGCCTCCACCGGCTGATATGGCTCAAGCCATTCCCGATCTTGGGCAATCATTGATTAACGACTACTTAGTCATACCAACATCTAACGAGTTATCAATGACAGGTCACCCCAAAGGAGTCTTTGGTAAGCAGGTTCAATCCCGTCATAGCAGCAGCTATTCAATCAAGGTCCATTACTTCCTGTATCGATACCAGTCATCCGAATTCTAACAATAAGGAAATGAATTTTCCCCGGGAAAGTACTCGAAATCGCGTTAAGGAAATGGTTGTGCGACAGCCACTATGGCACGACTCACTGTGCCTACATGCGATCCAGAGCTATTGGTGAACGCCACATCCGACGGTTGGTAGGGCCTAATAAATGGCATCCAACCCGAGGCCCAAAGGGATCCACGTCTCTCATGCTAAAATATCCATTAGAGGCTTTAATGACACTTTTGATGTGTCTGAGGCATGCGAGAAGTCTAATTGGAGCAGCTAAATATCAACGAAGCGCCTAACACATCAAACTCAACAGTGATTGCATTTAAAATTCACAAAAAATACGCCCTCCCATTAAACGGAAAATTTACAAAAAAAGTGATGGCCTACGCCAGATACGATTTAACCAAAAATGCTCAGCTCTAAGATAGTATTTGCTATGGTGTGATTGACAGCAGACGACTTCGCTATGCTGATTTCTGCGCAGCGAAAATCACACGAATACAGTGGAAGATCTCAAACCCATCTCTTCAGCTACAAAGGTAATTTCTGACAGAGTGCTTAGTGCGCAACATAATTGGGCAATTACACCTTCAGTTGCAAACTTCCGCTTTCAGCTTAACTTAACGTTTTGAAAGTCCCAAACATGCATCGACATATCTTGATGCCTGAAAAACTAAGCCATTCAAAAACAAATTTATTTAAGAGATCGAAAAATGTCTTTCAAAGTTCCGAACGTCCTCTGGATTTCCATCGCTGTGCAAATTGGTGGAGAGGCTCAAAAACAACGCCTACAAGAAAAGAATATTCTAAGGCGATATTTAATCAAAGAATGACAGTTGGAAAACAAACCAAAATATTTGGAAATTAGAGAAATTTTCCCTCAGTACAATGATTCAATTTTCCATTGCAAAACAATCACTTTAAGCAGTCCAAGAGCACAATACAGTTAATTCAAGCATTCCTTAGTCACACTTCCTTTAGAGGATTCAAGGTGAAAACAGAAATAGCTCTAATTTTTTGCTAGTGGATGACACTAAAACGCCACAACCGATCTAAAAGCGCAACGTTTTCAGAAGCCACATCTGCCGAGACCGATGCGCTTGAAAAAAAAACCGTGTCATCAGCTCTTCAGAATTGAACAATTAACCTCAATTGTGATTAATGACGAGCTAACCTAACCAACAACGTTTGTTCACTCTATTTTAGCGGGGTTAAAAATGGAAACGTAACAACACAGTTCATTCCTCTGTCATTGGTTTGTTCTAATTTAGCCTAAACGGTTGAAAAAGATGATAATTTGATTTTGAAAACAAAGGTGCTGAAAGATCCTGGTTTAGATAAGCTGGGGTGTTTTCAAAAAAAATTTGCTCGCCGTCTGTCAAAATGATGTTAGAAATATCGGCGTCTGCATATATTCTCTCAAGTTATCAACTAATAGGTAAAAGAGGAATCGAAACGCACAAATACCAACTACCAAATGGCAAATGACGTCCCTCTAGGTCTGACGCTATTCCAGTCAGTAACTGAACTAGTAATTTGGTTTTAGCTGTATTAACAAAGACGGTGAAATATTTTCAATAGCAAAGCAAATCCCTAATGAGTCAATCGGTTAGACAAACCTGATTTGCAAGCTACTTTTGCCAAATCCAAAGGGATTTCAAGGTCCCGCGGACTAGCCGATTTGGAGCCCACCAAAACCGTGATTTTGGCACAGGAAACACCCTCGGTAATAGGCGGATGGTACTCCAGTAGGTTAACTACTTCAAATGATTTCGCAAGGTTTATTTCAACACCTCTGAAGTGAGGAGCTTCCTGCACCATCTAGATGGAATGAATGGACATCTCAATCAATTTTCGAAAAAAAAGTGCGCATCACGTTTCATTTGTGGAAAAAACGCAATTCAGCAAAACATCTTTGACCGAATCATAACCACATTGTAAGCAACCCACCGTAATACCCAAGGTAAACAACCCTTTAGAGTTCAAACAACACGAGGTAGAGAGCGACGAGGAGAATGCACCTCATGCAAGGGCAGACACTCAACCGGAAATAAAGCTAGACAGCATACTATTATGAAACGACTAACAGCTGATGCAATATCATGAGCGTGATACATGTTCCGAAAAAAGGAACATCAACAAGAGAATGCAAAAAACGTAATTCGCAAATCCACGAATGAAAAGTTACACACAAAAACAACTCACTAAAACTTGATTAAGAGAACTGAATAAGCATAGTAGGTACGACTGTACCACTCAGATGGCAACACACAATTATGACATGTAAATCCTAGACGTTTAATTAATTCGTACGATTAAAATTTGTATTATAAATCTGCCATCCTGTTGAATTCCAAAACGACTTGTCGTCGAGTGAGTAAAGGGATAAAGACGAAATGTGTCGATTTAACATTAGGCTATGTAAATCTTAGCCTTAAATTTTACTATGGGTCCGTAATAACTATCACGGCAGGAGGAAAACAATTTATCATCTTATGAATGAAGGACTCAAAGTCAAACGCATGGGTCAAAGGATTTAGAGTGATGAGAAGTAGAAGAAAAGACAACCACACCTGTGCAAAATAGATAGCGCATTCAATTATACTGGCCCATCGAGATACTGCACTGAAATCAACAGGAGCATCAGTACAACCATCTGCGACTTCATTGCCACTTGAACGAGATTTGGGCAAACGAAGTTTTATGCGCTCCCGTGGATTTTCATCTTCAGTTTGAATGCGAACATATCTAGAAAATAGGGGCACTAGTTTTTAGTTGTAACCATCGCGCCCCGGCTCTTGGTTGATAGAAATCGCGAATTCATCGCTAGCGTTGGGTGAAAATAATTTATTACCAAATATGTGAATAAAATCGTACTAACTAGGATAAGATTCAAATGAAAATGTCAACCTACTTTCTTTCATCCCAATTTAAGCTTTTTTTACCATTTACTAATTACGTGATATAGCATGTCTTATCCTCACGTCTCCAACTGACGCCATGTCTGCTTACCCCACCCTTGCTTTAATTCTCAAGCTATGTGGGTAGTTGATGGTGCTCCGTTGGTTAAATGCCTAAGATTAAAATAAACGATTTATCCATCTACACAACCTAGCATACCGTCAAAACATAATGTAAAGACGGTGTAATGGGCATGCTCAAAATGAATGAAATTGCGTATGCATAGAGCAAAGACAAAATTTCTGTCGTGGTTCCATATATGCCAAACTGCTGGAGCATAACAATGTTATACTTTATCGAATGTTAGGGCACAAGCCTAAAAACGCAGAGCAAGGGCTTTAAGAAGCACGATTAATGTAAAATAAAAGAACTGACACATGAATGCAAAACATTCAATTCCATGACTATGATCAATGTCTCAAGGCGATGATTTAGCATTACCGTGAAGTACTATTGATAACAAGCATTTTGTGAATGAGCAGACCCTAGAAAATAGCATACCCGCTGCCACATCCCGTTTGCTCTTCCAAAACTCGAGTAGCTGACCTCGCTGTTGCAGTCGTCTTCTTCAACTGGTCAAGATGCGCAATTACTGCAAACATGAAGAAAGCACTACATAGGTACCAGGGACTGAGACGTTGAGGCATAAATGAAGTCGTTTCACTTAGCAAATTGATATTTAAAACAATATCAAAAAAAGCTAATAGCGTCCCATACTTCGCGCCATTGCACGATTACCCATTCCATCGGTAATCATAATAATAGTAACGATTCAGGTTAAGTGCCACTAATAAAAACGTCTTAAATGAACGATATGCAAAATTCCTGTGATTCAATTACTCATCCAGCACACAAGCTTCGCAACAACATCATCTCCTGAATAATTGCGCCCAGAATCGTCTTTCAGAAAGAAGTAAAAAAGCGATGTGTTGAAGGGGTACTACTTTAATTTTGCTAGGGTGACGTAAGAAGTTAATGAATTCACAAATCAAACCAAACCATATAAACGCCAAATTGAAGCGATATGTGATTAAACTTAAACACACACGGTAGATCCCCAAAAAAGAAGCACATAATGTTGCAAAATGTATTTAAATTCCACTATCCCATTGGACGGTAGACGGAAATCAATGGCAAAAGCCTTCATCATACCACTTTTAATAAACAATAGTCGGCCCTACCTTTCGATACCATTTACGACCTATTCAGAACGCATGAAATTCCTACCATCATAAGCAAACATACTACCAGTTACTATAAACACTGTGGTATTATGCTTAATTTACTAGTTCCGTTAAATACAAAACCTATCATATTGGAACTAAAGATCGGATTGTAAAAGCACTCCAAATGCAATAACCACTTTTAAGTCAAGACATTATTTACCGTACCTTTTCTGGGTATGATAATGACATATTGATGTAATTCAAATAGGCGTTTCATGAAAATAGTGTTCCCAATCAGGCAGAATGTATCAACCACGATGTATGGAGAAAAGTGGAGATTTGAGTCTTTTAGATCGACTAAAGGAGCAGAGGGGACAGATGTGAAGACGCGCTTATCCATTTCTTCAGAGAGTCTGTCCACTTGGTTCTTAAGACGCATTTTCGCCATATTTCGCATGGTTTCCTCTCGCATGGCCAGTGACAACGTAGACTAGACAAAAATATCATTAAATTACGTTTACTCGCATCCATTAAGTAGCCATTGCACAACGCACCTTATCAGCATCGGGGGAATGTTGGTCAGGACTAAGACACATTCGTTCATTTTCTACATCCTGGGACACGGCTCGAAATGACTGAACTCGAGGTTTATAAGGTTCTCTTTTTCTTCTTCTTCTTCGTCCCCTTCTTGGCACGTGTTTTCGAGAAGCAGGACCGCTATAACATCTTGAGCGGCAATGGGAGATAGAACTGGCGGCATTTGATGGCAATGGTGCCGTAAAGTAATTCACGTCCTGGTGATAGACGAAGTTCAGACCCAATCCATCTGCCAGCTTGGCAAATTCACGACCAAATCGAGTCAATGTAAGACATCGCAAAAGGGTCTCTTCTATCCGACTATCCAATGGGTCCATATTGAAGTCAATTGTTTCGTGTAGGGATGAAAGAGATGGCATACCACGCAAGAGCCAGTCCTCTGGCAATGCTGTCCTTTTTGAATCATCCTTCGGTTGGAATTCCCGCTTTAGTAACTCTCGACACTGCGCGGAAATGTGAGGAAATATTGTCGAAGGTGTGCGGATGCCATCCGTTGGTAAACCCAGGTACTTCGATTGTAAAAAGAGATCTGACGATAGTTCCTGCTCAACAATGCATGCTATTGGACTTAGGTAGTTGAGCAAACTCGCCAGGTGCGAAGCGATTTCCTGCATTAGGACCTTATAGGTAGAAGCTGCCTGCTGGAGAAAAGTTTGGGAGAGGGAAAGCCAGTCAGTGATGAGTTTAATGCCAGAAAGGAGACTGTCAACGAAGTGGGCAGCAACGAAGAGACGTAGCCAGATATAATTTTGATCAGCTGGGTCGTCATTAATCAGAGCCGCTTCTTCCTTGTCTGCAGTATCCCCCTTCGCATCGCTTTCAACACTACAATCTACCTCATTTTCCGATTCACCCTCTGACGCCTCTAGAGATAATTTAAGATGAACAACAGAGTATCAAGTAAATGAAATTAATCGTTTCCTTGAAGAATATACTTTAACCTGTGTACAGTTGAAAATTGGTTTTACACAATGCAACCAATACCGATATAGCAAAACGAAGTCCTTGGAGTGAGATAGACAAAGAACTTATTTCAAGAACTAAAATTAGCTATAAATTTTACAAGTGTATTTAATGGCCTAATTTTCTAAAATTTTGGATCTCAGTTTTTCGTATCATCACTCAAACCTCAAACTACAGGTTCGAATGAAAATTATCACAAACTGCAGGTTTTTGAAGTTAAGTGCAAAGTAATACCAGTGTATAATAGTAAATTCGAGTTATTTCTAGATATTGCTTCATGTACACAACACTTCGGAGACCATCCAAAAGTACTAGGTCGAATACATTGAAGAAATAGTCTTACCACGAAGTTGAATTTCCTCATTGTTTACAACATCTAATGTCTGACCAATTTGAGTCGTCATAGCTGCAGCCAGAACACCCCCGATTTCAGCAGGATCAATCTGAGATCTCGTAACTTCTTCGCACGAAAGTGGGGATTCAGAATTCTAATAGTCAAATAAATAAACAAAATTTGGTTTTATATGGGATTTTGTTCGTAAAAGCAGTAAATATTATACAATTGCTTTCACATGGTACAATAATCTTAAAAATAGTAATCCGCAAATAAATGATTTCGATCTATATGCTAACGACTGTTTAACAATTACATGTGACATCCTGCGCATCAAAAATGCACATACCTGAGACTTGAGCTGATTTACGTTAGCACCCATATGGTCTTCGTGGAAATTCCAATCCTGTTCGTCATAGTCATCAGATCCCTCTGAGTATTCACTATCTTCATCCTCATCCTCATCCTCTTCACTGGAAGAAGAGTTCAGAAAATCATCCTCCTCCATCATTCGACATCGAGGTCGCAGCCGTCGCAGGCGAGGACCACAAGACGACATCTCCGAAGAGTCTGACTCCACGTTCTCTTCTTCGTCCGCACCCTGGTCGTCTTTCTGTAATATGACTTCAAGCTCTTCATTTTGTTCCTCCATGACACTACCTATTTCGCAGATGTCCTCCTTGTTCGAGATATCGCCTAAACGACAGAGTAGGTTACACACTCTGGTACGAAGTTTAGGTAAATGCCTACTCGTAAAATATTTAAGAATCTAATAACGAAAATGCTAGAATGAAAGCCTAATGATTCCGGAATGACGATAACTATAGTGAGTAGTGACCACCACTACGAGAAACTTCAGTATGGAAAACGGCTAAAGGTATCAAGAAGCAGAGCGTACGGGATGTCAAACCACAGACCGAAACAAATGCCTAAATTCATATTGTCTAATGCAAACATGCGGAATTAGCATGTTCAGATGCCTAATGATGGACCATGATTTGCACTAAAACTGAAATGCTGCACTAAGACTCAAGAATGGGCTGAAATAACAGAGACATTTCTTCCTGATTAAAAACATGCTATAATCTTCAAGTGAACCAATATAACTCGGTCCATATTCATCCTAAACAGAAAACCTACCTTTTTCACTCCCATTCCTCTTATTTAAATCCTGGTTTCCACAATGAAAGCTATTGTGTGAAGTGTTAAAAGGCTTCGACCGAACAACGCCTAAACACTTAAGGGCAGCAAGTTTAAATATATTCACGGTTTTCGCCATAGCACGGAAGGAGTGAACAAGAAGTAAATCAAGCGAATAAAGGGTAAACAGTGGAAGTTCCTTTGAGCATTCAAACAACTGTACCACTGCGGTCTAAAAAAGAAAAAGTGCTTAATTCCACGACCCAAATGGGTATTTATACAACGGAAAACGCACCTCTTTAGGTTTATCCTTGTTTTCGGAAAGCAGTTCCGTGACAAGAAGGACACTGAGTATCATCCTCAGAACAACAGGTGGCAATAAAGGTGTACTCGCTGTTTTTTGGCGTCTGAGAGATTCAGGATCGGGGCAAAAGTCGGGCACATGGCTAAAAGTTCCGGTAAACTTGGGTAACATGTGATTTATACACTTAGCACCAAAGCGCTTAGTTTCTGAATGCAACATAAAACTGATATCATCAACAACTTCATTCAACAGTTGGGGATCGTCCAGTGATTTAGCGATACTCACATCTGATCTACAATACAAGAATTTCCATAATGCATTCAGAAAGGAATCTGACGTTCTAAAAGGTCTGTCATACCTAAGAAAAGCTTGAGCATTCCGATGAATTAGAAAGAGGTATTTGATGATAGTGATGCGTAGATCCTTGAGCCTACACAACAAAAAAAAGCTGGGCTAAGATGAAGATTAGCAAACTTTATCGCTGCTTTTCGGTTCATAACTTGAGAATGCAAGCTTGGCATAGGAAGTTTATTTTCTCTCATGCTGACAAAACGAGCCTCGTTGTTGAGTAGGAATGCGGCCAAATTTCCCTTGGCACCCTCAAAGGGTGCAGGTGATACAATGGCCCGGAGGCAATGAAAAACCGTATTCAATCCAAAACATCTACTAACATCAAGTGTACCCAACTGGTTGTGTGGAGTTCCTGTTTTGAGAAATAGACAATGGAAAGAACCTAAGTCAAGAACTCACCATTATCAGGATTAATAGCCGCTGCCATTTTATAGTAAGTGCAGGCTATAGCACGAGAATAAAAATCCCCAACCTCAACGCGATACCGATCTAAGTTAAACATTAAATCATAAATTGGAAATCAAACATAAATCGCCAATGTATATTAGGGCCTTGTGTGCAACTCTCTCAGCTAATTGTGAGTTTACGACACTTATTTCCGAGTCCTTCGAATCTGCGGGTTTTAAGACGAACGAACAAACACCTCCTTACACGAAATCCTGTGAATTCCAACCATGCGCCATGCATTGGGCCATACATCGGGGCGGTAAAATTCTTGTTGGAGACGCACCAAAAGGTTCTGGTAAAAACCAAGGGCGCTGATGAGGTGCGCCCTATAACTCTCAACAAAATGGGTTTGATCACCTATTTCCTGATTCTGAAAGAATACATAAAAGGCAATTCCCTACATGGATTACTGTTTTTGCAATACGGATAGGTTCATAAAAAACTCTTTGCCACATGAGCTCCTCGCACTTAGGACCATAATTTACAGGGTCCATAAATATCAATTTTAGAAGAATGTTCCTAAGACTAATCGGACAAATTAACGACACCAAAAACTACCGCAGCCTATGGCTACTGGCACTTTGGTCGAAAAGGGATTTCGACAAGGCCTCATTCCTGGATAAGGAGTCGAGCCTCTGGATTATCTCATTTACACTCCTAAAAAAAGCTCTCCTGAATAGAGTTTACGCACTTGAAAAGCACATCCTGCTTGGAAGGGGCAGAATCCTCAGAATCAACCCACTCTTCATCCATGTTTTGCAACATCATAACAACAAACAGATGACTAAAACAAAATAACAATTCATCTAAATATTTTGTCACTATCTTAAATTACAAGCCTAAAACTAAGGATAAATGATTTGTAAAAGACATAGACCACCAGACTCATCGAAGTTGGCATTGCGGATAAGTGGCCTAAATGTTTGTGCAATAATTCGCTTCAAATTAGTCCATTGACTGCTATAAGTTGGTAGTTAGCTTAACTCTCGGTTTTGAAATATGGCATTGGGGGCTTTACAATTACACCTCCATTGGGTTGTCTGGCCTCTGGGCCATGTTATTAGTCCCAAGTCCTATTATATGTTGAAGATGCATGTGTAGCGTCCCAAGACTCCCTGAAGACGAAAGAAGACACAATACTCGGGCAAAATGTATATTCAGCGCAGAGAAGGTGTCTGGGCTATTGGCATGGTCCAAAAGGCCAGTCCACCCAGCGAGGTACAAGGGGGCTGATTCAAAGTACAAAAGTGGCGCCTCACCAGTACCGAGGGATAAACCACTACCGTATTACATATGTTCTGTAGGACCCTGAGCCTTCCCTGAAGACAAACGTGGGCATAATACTCGGGTGGAATGCACATATTCTAGCTTTCATTAGAGCTGGGGCTACCAGCCTGGTCCAGATGCCAGCCCGCCGGACGAAGTAGCAATGGCGGAAACACAAAATTGCCCTTAAAAAACCGGGAGTTAAACAGCCAAGGTATTAAAATGTAGCAGGAATTTCACTTTGTTGATTGTTTTGTAACCTTTCTTATAGTCTACGGAGCTTTTTCTGAAATAGTAGGAAGTTAGCTATATGTTAGAAAATGCATTACTGTAGCGCCCCCAGACTTCCCTAAAGACGAAAGAGGACATAATGCTTGGACGGGATATGTATTCGGCAAGTGAGAAGATATGTGATCTACTGGCATGGCCCGAAGGCCAGCTCACCTGACGTGGTACCAAGGCTAAGTCAAAAGTGACTCCTCCCAAAACCGGGGGATAAACAACCATCGTATTACATTACTGATGTACTAAATAATTAGGTCTACTGGCATGGACCGAAGGTCATATCCCCGAACAAAAGCACAACTTACAGAAACTTTAGTGCCACGTAATCAAGAGCAAAGTTAAATAAACTATAAAAGCATTACATCGATCCTTTTTTGGACGTCGATATCGGAGCTCCCCTTAATTAGCCTGCCCTGTCGACCATTGCAACACAGTCACTGTTTTGCAAAATTACGGTTAAATATAGATATGCATATTCTAAAGGCATTGTAAAGCTTAAACATCTACCTTTTTATCCTTTCTACCAGCATGGGAATCATTTGGCATGCTTAAAATGTTTGTCTCGGCGTTTGACTGTGTGAGCAATTAAGTCTTTGTTAAGTGTACTTCTGCTCTGTGGTATAATCCCCGGGCCATGCCAGTAGCCTCTTAGCCCCTTAGTGCCTTAGAAATGTATTGCCTGGCATACTACTACGAGTTCTTACTACTTCAAGGAATGCTTGAAACGCTATGTAACATAGGCAGAGTTTTATGCCGCCAGCATGAATACCTATTTCTGGTAGGCTACTAGCCTATGTGATAACGACGTGTGTAATAAAAAGTAGTAATTCTGCTGCAGTTTGATTAACATAACATGACTCCCTTTTTGTATGCCCTAATTGGTAATGATGATTGGAACATGCTGCTTAACCTCTCTTGTTTTGCTTCCACACAGGCATTGATAAGGAATAATTATCATAACGTGCTTTGCTACTGCTCAAAGCCCATTTCTTTGTTAGAATTTCTCCTAATTGAGAAGAATTTTTTGACTTATAATAAATACTGACAGTTCCACAACTTGCCATCTGTTTGTACATAGAAGTTGCCCTTCGTCACGTTTAATTCGGTTGGATCATTACATTTGCATTCAGTGTTTGTCAATTCATAATTAGACACTTGAAAAGAAGCCCTAGATCTAAAAGAATAAACAAATAAACAATGCCTATATATCACATAATCCATCTTAAGTCGTAACTTCGCCAAATGAAGCATTGAATTAGTTGACCTTATTTTGGCCTTCACGGCTACATGACACATTGGATGAAGACGTGGATCACTATTTCAGCGTGGGAATTGGTGAGCAGCGATGCTGCTGAGCATAAAAATACTGGATGTGGCTACATTGTTTCTCTAGCCATCAATGTGAAATGAAGACAAGTGAGATGATCTAGATAATTGAATTTTTAATGGATGGCGTTTGAGAGTTTTAATTAACCTCATAATTTTTTTAGTAGTTTTCAAAATCGGGGTCTATTTAAAATTTAACTACTTGGAAGTGAAGATTTTCACCCACAGGCTCTCAGACGCACCTGTGTCAAACCTGGTTCCACTTGAAATCCACGGTAGTCTGTCAGTGCTTTAAGGATTTCGTAACTACTGTAAGTCCTAAAATGAACTTTCGTCACAACACTTTAATGTTTTGATATGCTTTATTACCCGATTAATTCTTGAGGTGTTGAAAATTGTGTGAACTTAATATTACAGGGAGGCTGGAAGCGTAAACGGTATGATCAGGCCCACACATCCCGTGCGGAGACCGTAGATGACGGGATTATCCCTTAAAGTTAAGTTTCGTTCAAGTGAATATCATGCTTTTGATATTATTCTTGGCACTTCCGCACTGGCTCTCATGGAGCTAATCCGACACCCTGGAATAGGCGGTAAGGCATGGAAGATGATACTGCAACGAATTTGTGTCAAAATCAGATCTCCCATTTATGAAATACTGATATAATCTTTCTAAAGGTCAGTTGGGCTAGATAGACCATTTGTGAAGAGCTTATGAAGACTGGAAAGTTTATTTAGAGATTGGAACCTATTTCATATATCTAAATAGTATGGGAGATTCTCGGATTATTGTCCAAAGCTTAGAAATATAGTCGACCTTTCTACGAATTGGATGCAGCCTTCCCATCTGCTTGGTTATCCACGATTGCCTGCAGTGTGTGGGGTCGCCGGTTCTTCACACTCCTCTCAGTGACTGCAATTGTAACGACAATAGATGTAGATGGTTGTTATTCACCTGATTGTAAAATGTGGTCCATTTTATTCAAATAGGGCACTATGTCTAATCACTGCGCAGATTGCATGCAAATGAGAGACTACCAAAATTTGACGCCATCGGTTCCATTAACAAGTCTGATAACCTGTCTTCCACACCATCTTTCTGTAGTAATTAAGCAATTCTGTTCAAAATAGGCCTCTTTTTAACTATTATTGAGAAAACCCTTCCCTTTTATTCATAATGTTGCTGGGTTCTTTGGATCAGGAAACTACTCATTTTTGAATTCTTTCAGAAAAAGGAGGCGTATGAATAGAATAGATTTAATTCAAATAAGCTTCGAGCTAGGTGGAGAAGTTTCTCTTGCCTCTTACTATCACTTGAGCTAAATTAGTGATGTCGTGCATTATAATTTTGCAAAATTCTGAACTTGCATTCAGCACACTGTGTGATTTTTCAAACAGTATAATTATGTGATATTGTCATAAAGGCTTATATGTAACTGTTTGATATTTTTAAGGCTAAAGATTTACGAGATTTCAATTATATTTTAATATGAGTGGAAACTTTAGTCTCAATTACATGTTTAGCGTGAAGTGCAAAAATTCGTTCCCCAAAATGCTATTTCCCTCTTGCATTCAAATAGTTGTGATACGTGAGGAGATGTCTACAACCCAAAGAATTGTACGATTTCGGTTTGATTAAATTTGTTGTCCAGGCACATTATGTTTAGATTCAGGAATCGTTAATAGCAAACAGGCATATTAATTGAAACTAACCACTTTTGTGCTCTTGATAAAGTGGACACATTAATTGAGGTATTCTTTCAATAAATCTACCATTTCTAACCGTGCAGTATCTTTCAATCCACTTTTTGCAAACATCTTGGTGAATTTTTAATCTCTTGTCGAACTTACCTATTTATCCAGCCTATCCAGCCATAAATTGCGGATACCAACTACCTTACTTTGATTGGTCAAATTTGCAGCCATCATCCAGTAGAATAAGGGCTGATCGAGGAGTGGGGCAGTGCGGCCGCAGGCAGCAGAAGTGGCGCGTCGAAAGCCAATCAGATTGATCGGAGGATAGAGGGGAGCGCACACTTCCACTTCCTTGGTTGGAGGCGGAAATGTAGCCCTTACTAAAACAAAAGTCGAAAGGCTATTGGTGACTTCTATAATAAAAGTAGTTTACTATTTAGGTCGATTTTGAGGAACTCTGAGAGGTATGTTCCCACCTTTTATTTGACACCTGTGGATACTTAAACCATACTTATAATTTAATCATAGTTATAAATTCATTGTATTACTGTTATTACTCCGCTAAACTTGAAGGTGTTTTAAAGATCCATCTGGTCAAACCGTTTCTGGAGGGTGCTTTCACATCATAATGATAGGACTCGGTTCCATACAAAGGCGTTGTTTCACACCGAATTACAGTGCTCTGAACCGCAACGTATATGAAGTGATTTTACAAAAGGTCTTTCCAGACCTTCCCACAAATTGCCATTAACAATGCCTATGGTTTTCTAAAATGTATTGTGTGCAAATTATATTGGAATTTTACAATGAGAGATCTATTCAAAGCCACATTGTGCCGCATGTATCAGCTTATTCGGGGCAAATGCAAATTTGATAAGAAAATATAAATTTAACCGCATTCTGTTCGAATATTTGAGTAAACTAAATTCTCTAAAATTTCCGTTTTATTACCACAAGTGAACCTGGTCTTGGATCAAACGGAACTAGGGGATGTGACCCGTTTTATTGAGGCAGTAACACGCCAGCACTGCCTTTTTATTTAGATCTCAAGCCTTATTATTAATATAAAAGCATATCAATGCCCTTATTTAAATGCAATGCTCCTTTTCAGGATGCCGACGACATGTGGATTTCCCAATTGTAAGTTCAGATCTCGCTACAAGGGATTTGAGGATAATCGTCATTTCTACCGAGTACCAAAAAAACCCGCAGTGCTGCGAGACAAGTGGCTGGAGGCCATTGGACGTACTGAGGCCAATATTGTCAGTCAGGTTAGTTTAGTCATAAATTCAAAGCCAGAAACCCTGCAAAATGATTATTTTACAGAGTGTATTCAATAAATTAGCCTTTTAGTTTGTCTTACGACTGCTTTTATCCTCCAAAGAAATAGCAGCTAGTGCAAAATGCAACTTTGCTAGATTCTATCGGTAGAACAAATCAATGTCGTGTTCGAAAATAGCCCTAGTTATACCTGTTGTCAAATTTAGAAGGCACTTTGTGTTGATAGTTCTATCTCAATCATCGGTAACCCTAGAGCAATTCATTATAAAGTATGCGGAATTGGTTACAATTATTAATTTTAAAGAGAATGTATTTATACCCAAACCTCATTCGCCCAAAATCTTACGTTACTTTAAATACTTATGTTACTCAAGGAACAGACTTCTCTGTGGCTGCCTTTGTTCCACAGGCATCAACGTGTCCAATGATATGCTGGAATTGAAAGCAAAATTATTTGTGCAGTTTTGAATTTTGGAGACAACTTTACTTGCACTATAAAATCAGATTGGTTGGGAACTTACTTTGCCATTGAAGTTAATAAAAATAATGTATACAGTAAGTTTATAGATTTAGTAGAGGTTGTATTTAGAAGAGCCTTTAATCTGTGAACTTGTAACGAATGTCATTGTTAGCTGCGGATCTGTTCGGGGCACTTCCACGGAGGCGAAAAGAAAGAGGGCGACATTCCGGTGGCTGATCCCGCCGTTGATCCGCCACGACGGATAGAGTTGCCATCGAGGGGGCTGCGTCTTTCTACCGCCTCCGTCGGGTCTGCAGCATTGGGACGAGATTACAGGACGCTTGTTCGTTTCCCCTTCACCGTCTCCACCCACCACCGACGTGGCGGAGGCTCTTCCGCCCAATGTCGCTTTCAGCCCTTGTCGGTGTCCTTAAGGGGCAGGGCGGAGGCCTTTTTAAAACCACCGTCCCCACCACCACTACCACCTCCACCTTCGCTACCATCACAGACTCTCTCTGCAATAGCCTCTACTCTAACTGCGTCTTCAGCTGCCCTAGAGGGTCAGTGGTCGGAAAAGATGCAGATATGGAACCTCCTACTGGGTGGAACTCCAACTTATCCATTTTCGCACAATCGTTCGGCACAAAATACACATTCACCTGGACCATTGTGTGAGTTAAATTTCTTCTTGGTATTTAAAATCTTGAGCTTAAGTCAAACAATATGAGTACATTGGCTAGTTTCACATCGGTGTTACCTTTTTTTCTATTTTTTAATTAGTTATGATCATCCCCATTATCGTTAGTTAAATTTCAAATTCTGCCTGTTTCAAGTAAACAAGGCAAATGTCTAAAATCCCACTGGTTCAGGTGCTTTTATTTTCATACCTTTTTTAATGGCTTTTCTGTACCTCCTAAGGTTTAAATAAAACAAGCTCTCAGTGGCAACTATCCTAGCCATTTATTAAATACTTTTGCTTACACTACATCTTGCAACTCAGAGCTGGGAATTGGTATTGTAGGTTCCTTATGTGTTTCATATTTATTCTTAGGTACGAAGTCCCGTACCATGGTCATATTTGATAGGTTTTCGGACTATTTCTTCGAGTTCCACACTCTGAGAAAATGCATACCACCAATGAACAATGTTGCCATCGTCCGAAAACTCAGTGAGATTTGGTTGACCCCAGAGGTAGGCTTTCGTACTCAACTATTGGCTCCCCACATGCTGTAGTTATTCATTCTAGTTCTCTTTTGACATAGTCAACATGATAGTCGATAACGTGTAACGTCGAAAGCTAATTCCAGTTGAGGCTTTGTTTCCAATTTTTGAGTGTCATTTGAAATCTAATTCTGCACTTACCGCTCAAAGTCATAGCCATCAGTTCCAATAGTTTTATCCTCTATCCCGCCCTAACAGAAGGAAAATTTAGTAGTAATAATGTGAAAATCGGAATTGCATATCTCATTTTCCTTAAGCTTTATAAATCATCAATAATTTTGGATAAGATACGACTGAAATCAGCTGCGACTACTGCTATTGGAGGCAATATGTAACCATGAGATTGTACCTTTAGGTTTTCCGAACAGCTGCTGTTATTATTTTCTACGATATGGACCTCTATGACAAGGAGATTATTCGCCACTTCATTAACCTTCAACTGGTTATCTTAGCTGATGTATTCAGCGACTTAATTGACGAAGCTTCCAATTATTTTAGAAGTCATGGTAGGTGGTTCGTTTCATTGATGAGTCTGAGTTTTATCATTCGCTTTTAATTTACTTCCATAGATTAAAGTGTATCAAAGCAGACCAACTGAATGTTATCAACAGTCATTTCTCTTAATTTACTATGATCAATCCCAGTGAGTAATCTGTGACCGTTCAAAATAATCCCTAAATGCAGCTTTTTGTTTAGCAGCATCATTGACTACTTTCTTTTATAACATGTTCACTCCGTGAACAGACACTAATAGGTGTAATACTGCAAATGAGTTCCCTCATTGTACTTATCATGATTCAAGAAAACTCATTTTCATCGCACAATAGTGTGCAGTATACTGTCTTACGTTAGGAGGATTTACACTCAATGACCACTCTCTAAATAAATTCCATGCAAATCTTCATTATAGGGATTCATTTTCGAATTATGCAACCAGAGCCTGATATTGACACCACAGCTGACATAATTTTCTCTAAGATACTTCAGTACAATTATGACACCTGCTCTGGGGATTCACCTTTGCTTCTGGAGCACACTGGAGACCACTCTAAGAAGATTTTCTTGAAAAGTCTCCGGGGAAGAATGCTAGGACTCGTTGGACTAGGTTAGCTGGATATTTCAATGATTTGCTTGAAGTGCAGATGCACTTCCTGCTCATTCACTTTACTCGCATTATTTTGAAAATAATATCCTGATAAAGTGAATCTATATGCACACAGAGAATTATAAGGTGGCATAATATGATGAGCCTTTATCGCAGACAAGTTAGTGATACACTGGAAACCATGTGACTTGTACGAACTTTTAGTGGTATTAAGGCTGTCGCCTCAACCTCTGCGTACTTGGACCCTTTTTCGGAATGAACGATTCGGAAGTAGGGCATTTGTAAGCATAAGTACTCATTTTTAAAGTGGCAATGCTTCCTTACACGGTCAAGTGTAACTTAATTGTAAACGCATAAATGGGAAACTGGGTGAAGATTTCACTGAAAATAGCTATTTACAATTGTTATTTGATCTTGGATAAACAGGATCATTTCCCCTCTTAATATGAGAAGCATTAGCTCAAGAAGAAAGATGACTCACAAATGTCCCGTTTATTTAAGTTCATTTAAGAGCACTTTATAACGCTTATTTTCTGATGTTAATAGCTGTCAAGCCCCCTAGTTGTTACCTTCTCCTCGAAGATATAAATTCGTTTCGTGTTTAGGTCTTCTAAGGACCTTATGATTAAATGTATGTTTTTGTGATATTTTTCAAGAATGATAACTCACTTTTGGTAGAACTCCAACTCCATAAACTATAAGTCTTAGCATTAATTAGCCTACTTGTTTAAAACTGATTAATTTTCCTCGAACTGAGATAATGTGCTATTAAACCAATTTCCCCTTTCGGAGTGTTAGTGGAGACAGGTTGCGTGACGGCCTGGACCGAGTGCATTTCCTTCCGGCTATTTGATATCATTATGTATCCTGACGACTCAACCTTGCTGTCCTCGTAGTGGTCGAAGCCGAGAGCTCTAATGAGGCTGCAATGCCTCTGGCGTGAATACTAATAGCACCTCATTTCACGGAGTCGGAAGTCGATGTGTTCCCTGACAAGTGTGATGCCATGATAAACTCTATGGGATATATGTCCTTCACTAGAAGGTCGGCAGATGCGTAGACTGTTTTGATCTTGCATGGTGAAAATTAGCTATGTTGCAATGAACAGATGGAAAAATAATGCATGAATTTACCATAGCTATCGACACTGTTGAATCATCTTAAGGCTGAGGATAAAACATTTACTGGATATTTTAATAAATCTTTGGGATGCTTGGTTTTAATACACACATTACCACGTTGAGTTATGAATGACACGTCTCTACTTTGTTACAGATCCCATTGGGCTGGCGATTGCAAGACGCTGTTCAATTTTTGGCCTGCAAGTTATCGTCCACGATCCAACTGTCTCGGAGGGCACATGCAGCGGCCTTGGCTTAGCACGATCCGAACATCTAGAAAGTTTACTACCTCTCTGCAACTTTATCTCCTTTCACAATTGGAAATTGGATACCTTAAATAACGAGGGCTACCAACTGAATATCACGAGTCAGCACCTCAATTTAATGCAGAAAGGTAAAGGTTATATATTATCGAAAATGGGCGAAATTATCTAAGTAAGCATGAACTTACTTGCAGAAGCGGACGAATTATAGTGGATTGTTAACCCATGCGATTCTGCTTAATCCAACTACCATGTCATAATAATACCATGTCACGACTGATCTCATGTTTGTCCAGATAAGGCACATCCTTTTTCAGACTTCGACACCTTTTGAGCACAATTAAATGACCAACAGAGTGTCCCTTTTTAAATGAACCCTTCTCGCTGTATGAAATTCCATTGAGGCAGCTTATCTGACGCTAAGGTCAGCTTCATGATATTTTTTTGTGCAACGACTTGGACAAAATTATTGTGGATGCGTATGAATTGTACTTTGCTGCTGGCATGATGAAGTTATTGCTTGGACGCGGGTCATGTTCTTTGACGGTGGTCCTAACACATGAAATGCATTCAACCAAAGTTCTCCTTGCTTTGGCATGAATGGTTTGTGCCTAATTTTGCCTTTTTGAAAAATCAAGAGCACAATTATTTGCAGCGCCTTAAAACTAGGGTTTAATGATAACCCATGGCCATCTTTGTGTCGTCTTTAATCAACCCTCAAGCTTTTCCACTAGTTGGCTTTGATGTTTTAATGGGAATTCAATTACGCCTTCCCCAAACACATCATCACTTACTTGAATTGAAGGAGAGAATTTAAAATTAGAAGATGAATATACCTACGCAAAGCTTTTTTTCTTAAGATGCAAGTATATTTTGCTCAACCAACCGTGTGAGCTTCGACATTTTGGCTCTCGCAAGAAGCCTCGGACAGAGCCACATTAAAAGTGTAGCTCTTACAAAGGAGCAAATCGCTGAGCTGATGTCCTGTCGCTTGGCCGTCACAGGTACTCACTTTCTTGCATTATGCCCATAACTGTCTGCCGCAGTGCCACAATAATAAACAAGCGTAAGACTGTTATGATCAAATATGTGTCAGTAATGAATTAACTCTATGTTAATTCATTATGTGCTAAGTGTTTGAACCCTATCTTCATAGCAATGCGTGGGTGCATATCGGTCCGATGCTTTACAAATCAACTTGATCTACCTCAAAACTAGAAGTAGATAGTGGACTGACGTTTAAATGTATGCATTAATCTGAGCTCATCTTTATTTGATAAACATTTGATAACTACCTCAATTTCGTAAGTCGACTTCCTAAAATTACTCAACCTTTGAACTATTTCATAACCAATCGAGTGCACGAAATAATATTTAAATAGAAGGCACCTGATAGAAATTGTCAACTTTCCACTGACTCAAAAGTTGTCAAAGTATCTCCAGTAATTTCTTTGATGGTGACCATTCCATGGATCATGGAGTGTAATTTGAGGATTCATCAAGTAGATATGGGCCCCTTATATGTCTCACCTCATTGATGCAGTGCCACACATGCAATTACTCTCGTTAAAGTTGTAGCTTTTTTAATTGAAGAGTATTTACGTGAATTTATTTTACAATCCCCATTCTTTGATAATTATTTTAGGTGGCTCTAAAGGAATGCCTAATGTTTTTGCGATTAGTCTTCCAAAATTGCTGTCGGAAGAATCTTTCATTAGTCACCGTCGAAGAGTTGCGAACTTCGTGACAGGCTTTCTGTGCGGTATGGGAGAGCCCCGTCTCACTCAATCAATTCATTCTTCTGTACATAAGCCCATTTCATCTAACCGACGAGAACAATTTGTTGTGAGTGACTCGAGCAGTCCCGCGGAACAGAACACTGAAATCGACTTAAATGCATTAAATTCTAGTAGTAAGTTTAATTTGCCTCTTGAAATAATCATTGAAGTTGCGATGACTCACTCAAGTTTCCATCGAACCAAATCATTCCAACATTGATTTTCCAGAAAAAAAAGGTCTGCCTTTAGGAATGCCAACTGCGAGTTCAATGAGTGGATTTGACGCAATTAACCCTAATGAAGAGTGTAAACCTTTTACAGTTCTGTCTTTAGGCATTGAACCGCAATGCTTTCACTGCAACAGCGTGGCGTTTTCGATTGATACACTGCTTACTTCATCATTTGGTTCCAAACCGCGTGTACCCTTCGCATAGCCATCGATAACTTTTTGCTGAAGAAAGGAAGAAGTACTTCGCCACCATTTACTAATACACCTCACTCGTGCGATGCTCTATTCGTTAAATTTTCCTTCAACTACTCCTCAATGGATTTAATTTTCGCCTTACCACTTGCATTTCCAGTTTTCATTTCAATTTCATTATTAAAGCCCCAGCGGCTGCATTCGACCGGCCCAACACCACTCAATGTCGTGTTTCGAGCAGTAAAGGCAAAATATAATCCCATGGATGCTAATTTACTACCATAAGGAACCAGGGGAAATTTGCTTGCACTTTGTAAGGGATTGTGATAAAAGCTGACAGCTGAACACATTTCCTATTTATTCTACGTTGGGTGATCTAACAAATTCAACATTTTCTAGTTGAAGGCAAACAGTTTGACAACCTTCTTCAGACGAGGCAACAAAAATTATCCCAAGTATAACCTGCAGTCCATTTAGCCTGGGGAAGTTTGGACATACTGCGGTTTGTTGGAGAAACTGAATCAAAGAGATTCGGTAGTTCATGATATTTATAATTCCTCCCTTGCTGCCTTCGCGGTGTAGATAAAGGATACATACAAAGCAGTTTAAAATTGGTCACCCGTCTTGCCGGTAATTTTGTGCGTGTGAACACCACATATGGACGGTTTGAGTACTGTGTTATGCTACATGCGGACACTAATGCACCAACCATTCCCCACACCCGTTCTCCGCTCGCAATGTACCAACGGAATCGGAATGCCTTTGCCCTCAGGACACGGGGAGGGGAGCAACCAGGTTTTTAAGTAGTCTTGAGAGTGTTCCATTCGGATCTTTAGCACTTAAAGGAGTAAAGAGCGCAAATAAGGAACAATATCCTATCATTAATGGAGAAATGCAGTGCAAATCTTGGTTTCACACATCTCTTACTCTTTATAGCACAACTCTTGTAAAATATGGGATAAGTTACTCAGAGTTGAACCAGTAAGGTTACATAAAATTGATATAAAATATCAGAACTTCAAACAGTTAAAAAATTGCCATTACATCGGACAGAAATTTGGGGATTTGGGTATCATAAGGCCAACCATAAGCAAAGTTTGCGTACTCAATACGGATTAAGAAATATTGTAAGCCAATCATAAGCAATTCGAATTTGGCTCCGTGGTAGACCAAATCGACCTCGATGTCTGCCATGGTCTCCAGACCAAAAAACATACTATCATTTACATACTTTTAACTTCCAAACAAAATGTATAGATATTCTAATTAACAGTATGATTGCGTGCACACAGTATCTAGTCCGTACCGACTTTTCCAAAATCGGTCCCTTCATACATCTTATATAGCTAGTATTTCTTTCGTTTCTCGGAAATCAGAGATACCTTAGCCTGGGCAATACATTTAAATGGAGACCTGAAAGAATAGGCGGTGTGGCGGTATTTATGCCTGTTGCCTGAACTGATCCATCTCAACAAATGCTAGACCGGCTGCCAAAATAATAGTTCAACCCTCTGTCCCACAGCATAGCCTACGGACAAGAACAATCAAACACTTTGGGCTTGATACTTCAATTGTGGCCGATTAGAATTGAAAACGTATGTCATAACTACCTCAGCACAAAGACTTGGGATCATCAATTCCATCAGACACTTCCCAAAATGGCGAAAGTCAAACTCAGCAGCAGACAAGCTTCAGCTACTTGACGATACGAAATTTTACCAACGAGGCAACCTCCAAGCACCAGTCATTGAAATCCGCCACGACCCAGGTACAGGGGCATAATCAAAGATCGTCCGCTCACCATTACAAACTTTGGAAGCCTCATCTACCAGCGACCCCAAAAGCACCCTACCTCTGCCTTAATTCACAACACTTGCCACATGAAGTCGAAGTGGCCATCTGTAAAGCCACCTGATTTAATCAAATCGCAGCTTGAACAAAAAACAGCTTTTAAATAACAAAACAGCCGTGTGCTTTGGTCCAGAAGTAGATCGCTCCATGTACCTCCAAGAATTTAGCCGTGCAAAACTGTCTATGGCTGAATAGCTGTTAGTGGGCGCATTGAACAACAATCTACAGGTATGAATATTCGTTTGATGCCTGATTATGAGTGGAGCTAAAATCCTTCGGTAAGGTAAAGAGCAAGAATTAATGTCTTAAAATGGTATTTTATACAATAAAAAGTATTCACTATAGCAACGGTTGGCACATCTACTCTTCCGAGAACTTCCGGCGGAGATTTGATGCTAAAAAGAGCGCGAAAATGTGTAAAAGTCAGGTGGTAACATAACTCATACAACCTAACATTATGATCCAGCAAATGGTTGTCAGCTAAAATGAAACAAACTGAAAATGAAACCTGAGAGACCTTCCAGGTTTAAAATGAAGTAACATGCACAAAAATAATGAGTAAATTAAAAAAAGAGGTAAATGAAAGTCTACGTACAATGATCAGTATGCAACATCTACGTGTAGCCAATAAATAGATCAATATATCAGAAAGCAAAGAAATACTTTCTACTTACATTCTCAAACAAGAAAGAAAACTAAAACTCCAATAAAAGGCCAGGTTTTACAAGTAGGGCCATTGATTTAGTCAATTTAATATCTCGTTTGAGATTCCCATATACCTGCACTTATATGCAACAGGAGAATTTGATAAATTACATTGAATATGTAATTATGCTAGCTATACATAATGGCACACATTACGGTATATCTCAAATACATGGGTAGATTGAGAGTAATCTACAATAAAAAGTCGAGCAACTAGTCATAAGTGGATTACAAAATGGAAACGCCTTCCCAAATTCAATAGAACGGATCATCATAACAAAGCAAAAGAGTTTTGATAGCCTTATATCTGTCTGTTTCAAAAGACCAAGGCATATTCTATGCATAAAACAGAAGACCTCACTGTTGCTAGCGGAATTCGGAGTGGTATTACACACCAGTGCGTGCCCTGGTTGTGCAAATGTGGAGGACTGCACGCGAATGAGGGAAGCTGACGCATTTCCGGGTGTGATTACATGAATTCCAGATCCCGGCAAGTCAGATATCGAACCCGAATTAGTGGAAGATGTGGGCATCACGGTTGCGAGCTGACCCTGCGGGTTGCTGCCGGGAGCATTTGAAACACGATAAACAGCTAGTCCACCAGAACTAGCGCTCGTATTGCTAGGAAGCACAATTCTGGAGGACACATTCATAGAGCCAGACACATTCGTGAACTAGAACATGAAGGCAAACCATAAATAGAGCCGTCTATGAAAATTCATGTTGCACGAAGACTCACAGTCGCACTTGCACCGGTATTGGAGGTAATGCAATAGTTTGGTGCCGTGATCGTGTACTTCTCTGGGGCTAACTTTAATCCCGGCCCAGATTTAATTGAGGGAAGTGTCTGGGAGTTTATTTTTTCGGCATATTCGAGAAGTTGCGCCCTGTGAAGCGGCGCAAGCATAACGTTTTCCATCTTATTTTCAACGGCCAAATCTAGATCCTTCTCAGCAACTTGTGATCTCCCGGCATACAGCGCATTATATTTAGCATCGACAAGTATTTCACCAGTGTATTCTGAAATTTGTTAAGGTAAATAACGGTCACTTGAAATAATATCCAGCACATGATTGTACACATCTTCTGGCAAACCAACTAAATTAAAATCCTCAAAAATTGACTTGATTACGCTCAAGACCGACAGCTGATCCTCGGGACGCTGTTCGGATCCGTCCATAGCGACACACACGATATTAGGGCGGGCGCGATTGGATATGATCAGAAATTAATCGAAGCGATACACTTTCAAAATTATAGACACCTAAGTTAGGTAACAACCACGTGGGTTTTCGCAATTTTCGGTTGAGTTCATTTAAAAATTGTAAATACGTGCTATTTTTGTGCAAACGTATACTCTACAAAATTGATTTGGCTCTTTCATTGTTTAATAGTAGTGGATTTTTACCATAACGACCTCATAAAGTAAAAAAGCTGAAAGATTTGTAATTTTTAAAGCAGGAACCCTTAGATACTACTTGAGTTAGTGCTCGAGGTTTGCTTTTGTACTTGACATATTTGGGCAATCCTGTCGCCAGCATAATCACTTGGATCATCTAGCGACCCTGACTCTAATTTCCCCAAGACCATGTAAAAGAGGCATTTTGCGTAGTTAACAGTATAAGTGAAGATTTTACGATGTCTTTTTAACTCCTATTGTAAATCTGATTGATTGATTGCTGGCTTTTTATATAAACCAGACCTGCAAACCAATGTAAACACATGACAGCAAGTTTTTGCTAAAAACGAAGCTCTGTAATTGCTGTGCCTTAACATCCCGTGTCTACCCTTTAGTCACACGAAAACAGTAGTATGAACGAATATACAACACTAACGCGTAGATAGGCAGATCACCAGTATGACCTGCGGGCTACGAGGTAGAATGAGGGTACCAACCGCAGTGAATGAAGTCTCCTCGTAGTTAAACACAGCCAAACAGAACACCTAGTCACTGTAGCGCTTTAAGTCTCCATGTAGTGTAGTTTTTGGATAATACAGATATCAAACTTCCTAATTTGGCTAAAAATATCCTTCTTTAGTTAAAAACAAACAAACTTGGTCTTTTAAGATTTTGAATTCAGATTTTCAGGTACTTCCATCGTTTCTTTAATCGCTAGGCTTATTTTCAGGGACCCCGAGAAGACATATCTACTGGTTAACGACAGCAGAAACCATCACTATTTGTAGTACACGTCCGATTCCCTTCTTTATGATTGGCAAGTGATTCACGATATTACTGCTTACTCCCCCTCTCTCTTGGAGCCCTTACGGGCATAGATTAAAGCAGTGCGATTGCTATGTGGTAGGATCTTTTGAATCCGTTACAGGTAATGCAAATGCGGAAGAAGTCAGTCATGTTCTGTGTAGCATAAATCACGGGTGGGTGCCTGGAGATCACCCGCAACTTTTGCTTGCCTCGTCTAGCACTTTCTTTTCTCATTTGTAGCCTAACCGCTTGTATGAGACTTGAAGAACTGCTTGCACTTGTGAATTTGATACTGGTAAACGAATAGGTGCTCCAGTCTGATCTTGCTGATGATTGTACTTCATTCTCTAATAACAATTTTGACCGCTCCTGCCACGCAGCTAATCTGCCCGATGACAAGATCTTCTTTGCTGCTAGTCTGTAAGAGAATGCAAGAAACCTTTCGTACACCACAGCTGTGTTGCTCCACTTGCATTTACCAGAGTCATCCAGGGAGATGTCTTTTACCAGTTTTTACTGAATCTGATCACCTAGATTAAAGTATTTGAGTCACTACTGTACTGCAGTTTTTATACCAAAGGGTTACTAACAGATCTATGTCCTTTGTTGTTTTCAACCATTTAAAATACTGCTAGTCTCTTAAATGAATCTCCTTACTATCAGGTAATGTCTGATTATTGAATAATAACAAAATATCTCGCTGGATAGCACTGTACGCCAGTGTGCCAAATACAATGCCCTAACTACAGCTGTATTAATGGCGACAATGTCCAAATTTAATCAAGAAGTATCTGATCCGAGCTGGGGAGGTGTTAGAGTCGGTGCAGAGTGAAGCGTCTGCCTTGGTGTTTAGAACGCTTTGTCATGCCCCTTCTCGCATTTATGGTTCACTTTGAACAGCTTTTCCATTAACTTGTACAACTATTTTGTGTCTTAAATCAATTCATCAAAAACGGCTGTAGTAGCGCACTAGGCCTAGAAGTTTGCAGAATTCTGGCTGATTTGCTGATTTTGGCCAGGTCTCAACTTACCGTGCCAGGACTTCTGTCACTGCCATTACATTTGAAGAGACAGCATACTTCAAAATGTCGCCTAGTTTCGCAAGAACTGGCATTTTC